AGTAAATCTTTAATCTGATTTTCTATTGATGGGTGGGGCTGTGTTCCCTCCCTGTAGTTGGCTTGAGGCTGAGCTATGGTAGGGGTAATGGCAGCCCCCTTCCAAATGGTTTATGCCAGGACTGTTGTATTCAGTGTCCCTGACCCCACAATAGCCATGTTGACCCATGCCTCCCCTGGGGACTCTTAGACACAGGCAAGTCTGCCTCAGTCTCTTGTGAGGGTCACTGCTCCTTTCTCCTGGTTCCTAGTGTGCACAAGGTTTTGTTTGTGCCCTCTAAGAGTCTCTTTCACCAGTCCCATGGAAGTTCTGTTATCAAATCCCAGTGGTCTTCAAGGTCAAATTCCCTGAGGGTTCTCAGTCCCTTTAGTGGATCCCCATGTTGGAAAATCTGTTGTGGGCCTTAGAACTTTCATAACAGTGTGAGAACTTCTCTGGTATAATTGATCTCCAGTTTTTGGGTTGTCTACTCAGTGGCTGTATGGTAGGGCTCACACATTGTGCTTCCACGGTCTGCTGAAGCCACAGCCCCTGTCCCCACAGCAGGCCACTGCTGACCCATGCATCTGCAGGAGACACTCAAACACTCAAAGGCAGGTCTGGCCCAGACCTATATCCATGTTTTAAAAATGTGACCAGTTTGCTGTTTGCACTAACTTGAATGCAAGAATCTCATTTTGAGGTGTTGTCTTCCTCTGTCCCACTCTTTATTAAGGACTGTTGAGGGTTAATGTTATCTCCAAGGTGACAACAGCCTTGGGAGGAGCAACCTACACCTGATGTATAAAGTCAAAGTTTGCAGGAAGAAGAGTTTCAGGGTGAAGAGTGTCAAGTGATGTTTGTAGTTTGAGTTATCAGTATCAAGGAGAAAAAAAGAAAAGTGAATCCTCATCATTTGCTTATGGTATTCAGAGCCAGAGGCAGGGACCTTGGGAAAGTGAAGAAGAGAAAAAGAAAGAAAAATGTCCAAATGCAATTGGGATGTATGGGGGCAAGAGGAGAGAAAAAGCCTGAGAAAATGGGGTTGGGTGTATGATCACATTGATTTGCTGTTGTTGTTTAGTCTCTAAGTCATGTCCAACTCTTTTGCAACCCCATGGACTGTAGCCCACCAGGCTTCTCTGTTCATGTGATTTCCCAGGCGAGAACACTGGAGTGGGTTGCCATTTCCTTCTCCAGGGGAATCTTTCCAACCCAAGGATCAAGCCTACCTCTCATTCATTAGCCAGTGGATTCTTTATTGCTGAGCCACAAGGGAAGCCCAATCACATGGATACTGACCTCAAACACAAAAATTTGTTATTCCTAGTGAAAAATGGAATCAGCCCAGTTCAGTCACTCAGTCGTGCCTGACTCTTTGTGACCCCACGGACTGCAGCACGCCAGGACTCCCTGTCCACCACGGACTCCTGGAGTTTATTCAAACTCATGTCCATTGAGTGGGTGATGCCATCCAACCATCTCATCCTCTGTTGACCCCTTCTCCTCCCACCTTCAATCTTTCCCAGCATCAGGGTCTTTTCCAATGAGTCAGTTCTTTGCATCAGGTGGCCAGGGTATTGGAGTTTCAGTTTCAGCATCAGTCCTTCCAATGAATATTCAGGGTTGATTTCCTTTAGGATGGATTGGTTTGATCATGCTGTCCAAGGGACTCTCAAGAGTCTTCTCCAACACCACAGTTCATAAGCATCAATTCTTTGGCGCTCAACTTTCTTCATAGTCTCATTCTCACATCCATACTTGACTATTGGAAAAAACATAGCTTTGACTAGATGGACCCTTGTTGGCGAAGTAATGTCTCTGCTTTTTAATATGCTGTCTTGGTTGGTCATAACTTTTCTTCCAAGGAGCAAGAGTCTTTTAATTTCGTGGCTGCAGCCACCATATATAGTGATTTTGGAGCCCCCTCCCTCCAATAAAGTCTGTTCCTTTTTCCATTGCTTCCCCATCTACTTGCCATGAAGTCATGGGACCAGATGTCATGTGTTAGTTTTCTGATTGTTGAGTTTTAAGCCAACTTTTTCCACTCTCCTCTTTCACTTTCATCAAGAGGCTCTTTAGTTCTTCACTTTTTGCCATAAGGGTGGTGTTATCTGCATATCTGAGGTAATTGATATTTCTCTCAACAATCTTGATTCCAGCTTGTGCTTCATCTAGCCCAGCTAGATGTACGGTGTACTCTGTATGATGTACTCTGCATATTAGTTAAATAAACCAGGTGAAAAGATACAGCCTTGATGTACTCCTTTCCCGATTTGGAGCCAGTCTGTTGTTCCATGTCCAGTTCTAATTGTTGCTTCCTGACCTGCATACACATTTCTCAAGAGGCAGATCAGGTGGTCTGGTATTCCCATCTCTTTCAGAATTTTCCACAATTTATTGTGCACACAATCAAAGGCTTTGGCATAGTCAATATGCAGAAATAGATGTTTTTCTGGAACTCTCTTGCTTTTTTGATGATCCAGCAGATGATGGCAATTTGATCTCTAGTTCCTCTGCCTTTTCTAAAACCAGCTTGAACATCTGGAAGTTCATGGTTCACGCATTGTTGAAGCCTGGCTTGGAGAATATTGAGCATTACTTTACCAGCGTGTGAGATGAGTGCAATTGTGTGGTAGTTTGAACATTCTTTGGGATTGCCTTTCTTAGGGATTGGAATGAAAACTGACCTTTTCCATTCCTGTGGCCACTGCTGCGTTTTCCAAATTTTCTGCCATATTGAGTGCAGCACTTTCACAGCATCATCTTTTTTTTTTCCATTTATTTTTATTAGTTGGAGGCTAATTACTTTACATCATTGCAGTGGTTTTTGTCATACATTGAAATGAATTAGCCATGGATTTACATGTATTCCCCATCCCGGTCCCCCCTCCCACCTCCCACTCCACCCCATCCCTCTGGGTCTTCCCAGTGCACCAGGCCGGAGCACTTGTCTCATGCATCCAACCTGGGCTGGTGATCTGTTTCACCCTAGATATACATGTTTCGATGCTGTTCTCTTGAAACATCCCACCCTCACCTTCTCCCACAGAGTACACAAGTCTCACAGCATCATCTTTAAGGATTTGAAATAGCTCAACTGGAATTCCATCACCTCCACTAGCTTTGTTCGTAGTGATGTTTCCTAAGGCCCACTTGACTTCACATTCCAGGATGTCTGGCTCTAGGTGAGTGATCACACCATCATGATTATCTGGGTTGTGAAAATGTTTTTTGTATAGTTCTGTGTATTCTTGCCACCTCTTTTTAATATCTTCTGCATCTGTTAGGTTCATACAATTTCTGTTCTTTGTTGTGCTCATCATTGCATGAAATTTTCCCTTGGTATCTCTAATTTTCTTGAAGAGATCTCTAGTCTTTCCCATTCTATTGTTTTCTTCTTCTTTTTTTTTTTTGCATTGATCACTAACGAAGGCCTTCTTTTATTTGAACTGATCACTGAGGAAGGAGATATGGAATAGTTCCTGCCGTATCAATAAAGAAAGGATATCACAGTCATCAGCAATTGCAGCCACCATGGAAGGTGAGTTAGTGAGCCCTGAGGGTATTCAGGATGGAAATAGTGCCTGCCATCTAATAGCCATCAAACTGCAGCCATTCCCTGTGGTGAGACCTGAGGAAGCTCAGGATGTGAAAACAGACTACTGTCCCCAGATAGCTGAGGGGCATATCAAAGGAATGATTTCAGTAAGCCTAATCTCTTGCATCTTCCTTTACATAGAAAAGCACTAAATTTCTCAACTTGGGATATCTGGTTTTCTTTAAGTTACAAAACATTTTTGAAGTTCAGGCTACCTACACTTCCTCCAGGCCTACAGGCCTCCTCCTGCCCCCCACCTCCCTGCCTCCTTAGAGCAGTTCTCTCAGGGTCACTTGAGCTGCTGTCTCCTGGACTTGAAGTCCTAAAATTCTCACCAAGTAAAACATAACTCTCAACTTCTAGGTAGTGAATGGTTTCTAAGGAGATTACAAATAAATCTGTATGCACATGTATTTGTGTGCTATGTTCTAACGAGCTGGGTGATGAGGTGCTCTTTAAGGAGAGTGAAGACCAAAGTTACTCAAAGGTGCTCCCTTAAGAAGAGTGAAGACCCAAGGTTATTCCGACCTCCCACCTGGATCTGAGCCAGACCCTGGGGCAAGATCAGGGAGAAAATCCTGGAAGAATGCTGCAGGTAGATTTGTTCTGCCCGATGTCCGAATCCCAGAGCGGGAAGAGAGAAGTTCCAAGACAATGCAATTTACAAAAAGGGAAGTTTTATTACTGACTCGAGTCAGGGCTTTCTGCTGCAACCAACACAGTGGTGCAAGGTCAGAAAAGCCCCGAGCAGAGGCGGTTACCCAAATTTATAAGGTATGCATAAGCGGTTAGTAGCTGGCTTAAGCGGATTGGTTACATGTTTGCAAAGCAATTTTATTGGTACAAACTTTCACGGGCTTTTGTTTAAACTTAGGCATCCGCGGGCTTTTTAGCTCTCCCTTTGTTTCTTACTGGACGCATATTGATTGGCTGGCTCCAGGTTACCTGATGGGGGCGGGGAATCCCACCATTTCACCGGAAACCAAAACCCAGGTCCCGGCCGCCTGCTAGCCCCGGCAGCCCCACAGATTTTTCCCAGTGGAAACGGTGGCTGGAGAGAGAGCCCCAGACTCCTCCAGCCAGTGCTCTTCAGCCTCAGACCTACCTCACTGGGAGCCAGACTGCCCAACACAGCTTGCCTGAGCTGCAGTGCCGCTCTCCACCGCACGGAGGCAGCATGACCTACAGCGCGGTGGCAGCGGCAGTCCCCACGCCCCTCTTGACGGCGGCGGGCGGCGGGCGGAGGCCGGGCCGCGGAGCCCTCGCTGATTGGCCGCGGCGCGGCCGCTGCCATGTTGGCGGAAGTGGCGCTCTCTGTGCCTCAGCAACTGGCTGTGACTGCGGCCGCCCGCTCCGTGCGGACGGGGTCTTCCTTCTTCCCCTCGCCCGGGGTTGGCGCTGAGAGGCGGCGTCCGGCGGGATGGAGAAAAGTAGGATGAACCTGCCCAAGGGGCCGGACACGCTGTGCTTCGACAAGGACGAGTTCATGAAGGTGCGCCCGGGGGCTGCGCTCCCCGAGCCGAGGCGGGTGGCCTGTCTTCCTTTCCCTCCGGGGCCTCCTCGGGCTGCTGGGCCGCGCACGCCCCGGATCTGCCCCCGGCGGGACCTCGCTGCCCTCGTAGTGAGTCTTTTGGCCTCAGGTGGGGCCGGGGAAGCCTGCTGTGAGAAGGCACTTCTGTGAAATGGTGCATAGTGACGAAAAGGCCTGAAGTTGTGGGCAAGTAGTTTTGAGCTAGGTATAAAAGCTCATGTTATTACCCGAATCCGTTACCATGCAGTGCAGTCGGAATTGCCAGCCTCCTGGGCAGACAGAAGTTTGTCGACCGCCCCCTTGCACCTGGAAGCTCAGTACGAATGTATTGACCAAATCTCTGGACCTACATTCCTACCCAGGGATTAGGTGCGTGGAAAAGGCACTCAATCGAAAGATTTTCCTTAACGTTCGCCTAAAGTTTCTGAATGGGATATTTAAAAGATTAGAATCTTATTACTGATTTTGTTGCAGTACAACAAAGTAAACCATTTTGGTTCACTAAAGTTACTCTACTTTTTATAAAGTGAACTTGAAATTGGTCTGCAGGTAAATGTCCGACATAAGCTTACATAACCAGAATTGAAATATTATGGATATTAACTGTTTATCAGGCACAAGCCTTGAATGTGTCCAAGATTTGAATCAGAGCTGGGAGGAACTTTGCATATTTTTGTGGTGTAATGCTCTGGGACTGTACATACACCATCAAGAAATACAGTTATGCTTTATTTCTAAGGATTCGGGTTTTTGATACCACTTAGTGGCTGCTTTCAGTGTTAAAAAGTTAAATGTTTTGGCTCAGTAGACACTTAAACTTTTGAGCAACTGAATTTAAGTCTTTTTGTTTTTTTGCTTTTTTTGATGACTTCAAGTCTTAGTATTTTTTTTCTTTTTAGCTTCATTAGTTTATCTTTTTGATGCTTGCATTCAGTTCACAGTCTCTGGTTTTAAACAGTATTTACATCTGTTCTTTTTTATAGCTGAATAGTGTGTACCACATGGACTTGAGCTTGGGCAAACTCGGGGAGATGGTGAGGGCCGGGGAAGCTGGGTGTGCTGCAGTCCACGGGGTCGCAAAGAGTCAGATGTGACTTGGGAACTGAACAACACCCCATCTTCTTTATCCATTCCTGTGAACTTTTAGATTGTTTCCATGTCTTGGCCATTGCAAATAGTGCTGCAGTGAATATTAGGGTGCGTATATCTTTTCAAATGATGATTTTCTTCACATATATGCCCAGGAGTGGGGTTGCTGAATGATATGGTAGTTCTGTATTTAGTTTTTAAAGGAACTTTCATATTGTTCATAAAAAAGAGCAAAATAATGCCATTCGCAGCTACATGGAAGGGATTATCATACTAAGTGAAGCAAGTCAGACAGAGAAAGACAAATACATCATTTACATTTGGACTCTAATAAAAATGATACGTGCATGCGTGTATGCTTAGTCTTAACTCTTTGAAACCTCATGGACTGTAGCCTGCCAGGCTCCTCTGTCCATGGGATTCTCCAGGAAAGAATCCTGGAGTAGTTTGCCATTTCCTTATCCAGGGAATATTCTTAACCCAGGGGTGAAACTCACGTCTCCCATGTTTGTTTGCATTGGCAGGTAGATTATTTACCACAGAGCCACGTGGGAAGTCTGAAAAGTGATAACAGATGAACTTATTTACAAAACAGACTCACAGATCTCAAAATTAAATTTATGTTTCAGTTCAGTTCAGTTGCTTAGTCACTTCTGACTCTTCGAGACTCCATGGACTGCAGCATGCCAGGCCTCCCTGTCCCATTGCCAATTCCCAGAGTTTACTCAAACTCATGTCCATCGAGTTGGTGATGCCATCCAACCATCTCATCCTTTGTCGTCCCGTTCTCCTCCTGCCTGCAATCTTTCCCAGCATCAGGGTGTTTTCCAGTGAGTTAGTTCTTTGCATCAGATGGTCAAAGTATTGGAGTTTCAGTTTCAACATCAGTCCTTCCAGTGAATATTCAGGACCAGTCTCCTTTAGGATGGACTGGTTGGATCTCTTTGCAGTCCAAGGGACTCTCTGGAGTCTTCTCCAACACCACAGTTGAAAGGCATCAATTCTTCGGTACTCAGCTTTACTTATGGTCCAACTCTCACGTCCGTACATGACTACTGGAGAAACCATAGCCTTGACTAGCCGGACCTGTATGGTTACCAAAAGGGAAGCATGGGGAGAGGTGATAAGTTACGAGACTGGGATTAACATATACACACTACCATATGTAAAATAGATCAGCAGAGGTTCACTGTGCAGCACAGGGAGCTCTGCCCAGCACTTCAGTGACCCACGTGGGAGAGGAGCCCAGAGCAGAGCGGGTCCACGCGTGCACACAGACGAGCTGCTCTGCGGCACGCCTGGGACTGGCACAGCAGTGTATGTCAGCTGTAGTAAAAAAACTAAGTGATGCAGTTTAAGAAAAAAGCATTTACATCCGGATCGTCTCCAGTGTGGCCATGTCATTTTTATCATGCAGGCCATCTAGACCCAGGAATAATGTACTCTTGTCCTTGTACAGTGATGTTTCTGCTAAACCTCTGTGATGAAGGGCGTCATTTGAAAGGGAGTACCACATGAGCTTGCCGATCCAGAAATGCTTTGTTCCATCCGCTGGCTGAGAACTGTCCTGGAGCAAGGGTAGGAAGAAAAAGCATGATGAGGCGAGGTGTGCTGAAAGAAGCCAAGGCACAAGCAGAGATGAGGGGCTTTGTTCTGTTCAAGAATCTCAGAATACAGAGAGCTTAGCTTGACCAACTTTGCCTTCTTCAAGGCTACCTTCAGGCTCAACACCAGCTTTCTTTCTGACTTGCTAGCCCCACCATGTTTCTTGCTCTGAACTGATAGAAAGCCTTTGGGAAGAGAGGCTTCAGAAAGTAGAAACCTCAAAATAAGTTCTAAAGTAGAACTTGATGAAGGGGAGAGCAAACTGGGGAGGTGGCTGAAATGGCAGCAGTTTCATATTCTTTCATGCCTCCTAAGCCTCTGAATGTGCTCTGTAATTTGTAGTGCTAAATGTGACCACATGTAAAAGCAAAATACACAGGACAGCCACCCTGTGTTAAATGTTGATTTTCTAAGTGAGACTTGGAGATAAAGGTTACCTGCAATTTATGTTTCCTTCAGAGAGACATTTTAAAAGTTTTGGTCACATGGCAGAAATGATAGAGAGTTTGCCTTTGGGGTTATATTTCTTAAGTCTGTCTGATTCAACGCATATTGTAATTTGTGCTTGTGAGAAAGTTCGGGAATGTCCGATTTGCATTAGGAGAGTGGAGGTTATTCTCAAAAAATCCAGTCATTGGAAACTTTGTTTCCAGTCAAAGGAAACTTTGTCACACACATGATGAGGCCCTGTTAGGACAATGGTAGCAATCATTCATTTAATAACAGGCACTCATTGATCACCTTGGAGAAGGAAATGGCAGCCCCTCCAGTATTCTTGCCTGCAGAATCCCATGGACTGAGAAACCTGGTGGGCTACCCTCCATGGGGTTGCAGAGAGTTGGACACGACTGAGTGTCTTATCACTTCACTTCATTGATCACCTGCTTTGTGTCCACCAGCAGTCTAGACTGGATAGTATGGGGTAGATAAGATTTAGGCTTTTGAGTATGGTCACAGAAAGACCACAGTGTGTGCTGAGAAACTGGACTTAGTCCAAAGAGGCTGGGAGGATGACCAGAGTTGGAAAAGACAGCTGGGTGGGACTGCAAGTTGTCCTCGTGTACTGCACTGAGGGGTTTGCACTTGATGAGTTACAGTCAGGTGGAAAGCAGGAAATGACGTAGTCATGTCTGTTGCATTGAACCCGTGTTAGAGGATGCTGTGCCACTGGTTACTTCAAGTTAATATAGGGTTCTGTTTCAAGGGAAAATTATGTTGGATTGGAACTGATGAGCTAATATTTTGATTTGGGCCATTCTTGCACATGTATTTCAGTCCTAACTCAGTGTCGTAGTGGTATCTCAGACTTTTAGGAAGTTATTTAATAAATGCTTAAGAAACAACCAACTACCTTTCTGAACACAGAGAAAAAAAGGCTACTTAAAATGCTTCAGTGGTCCTTGTAAGATCTAATGAGAAATACAGAGCAGAGGACAGATTTGTGAAGGATATAGGTGATCAGAAGACAAGAGTGGCAGATGGTAGTAGAGGTACCATCACTTGGGGACCTCTGTCACTTGGTAGTAGAGGTGGTGATGACATGTCATTAGTTTTGTCAGCTTAAAAACTACAAAAATCCTTAGCGAGAGTTGATAGCCAACTAATACATGAAATAGCACATAAGATACTAGTAGTACGGGAGAGAAGAGGCTAACAAAGTTAAATTAGACCCACTCACCTAGGTGTGCTGTTGAAATCTGTCCTTCTATCCCAGCATATGACTTCTATTTTATAGAAAAAATAGCGCCATCAGATGGGAACTTCTTCATCTTAACTGATGACAGCTCCATTCTTGTATATGTACCCATCCCCTTTCTCCTCCTCGCCTGTTTGGAAAAGGGGTCTTCCTTCCTGAGGTTGGTCCTTCCTACCCCACTCCTCCCGGGCTTGGAGCCCAGACCCCCTGGTACTCTCCCCACCCTCTGATTCCCCTCTCCTGACCTCATCCCCAGTGGCTTTCAAACACGCTCCTGCTTTGGTCTCTTCCTCTTGACCCTCCTGCCTCTAGTCATTTTCATATCACTCTCTTCCACATCACAGCCAAACTCTTGAATTGTTTTTACTTTCTTATATGCTGATTGGCTCTTCGTATATCTTCTTTGGAGAAATGTCTATTCAGATCCTTTGCTAATTTTTTAATTGGTTTATTTGTCTTTTAACTGTTGAGTTGTAAGAGTTTTTATACTCTGGATATTAGACCCTTGTCAGATACATGATTTGCAAATATTTTCTCCTATTCACTGGGTTGTCTTCTCACTTTGTAAATAGTGTGTTTTAACACACAGGTTTTAGTTTTGATTGAGTTCAGTTTATCTGTTATCTTGATACTTTTTGTGTCAATGACTGCCTAATTCAAGGGCACACAGATTTTCACCTGTTTTCTTCTTAGAGTTTGATTGTTTTAGCTCTTCTATTTGTCTTTTAGTCTATCTTGAGTTAAATTTTTGTGTATAGTGTGAGGTTGGTATCTAAATTCATTCTCTTCCATGTGGATGTTTTCTAGATAATATCAATTGCTGTATGTTTAATAAATCTACAGTGTAAAATGAAGCTCTCTGGGAAATGAAATGTGGCAGTTATTACATGCCACTGTGAGTCTGAAGTCGTTTGCTGTCAGAGCAAAAGCTGCCTGATCCGATATTCACAGGTGTTCTCAGTCATCTTCTCTTGTGTGGGGCAACATTTGTTTATCCAAGAACAAATATATAAATGGCAAACTGAGCACTAATATTGCCTAATAGCATTTGTTAGAGCTCAAGTTATATGATTTAGAATGCCATCATGAAGTTCAGATCTGAACTTCATCCATTTGAAGTGCATACTTTCAAAGTAACAAGCCGAGTGCTCTGCATAGAGTCATATGGCCGGTCAGTACCAAGGCCAAGATTTCAGGCTGAGTCCTGCCCTCACATTCTTTCTGTGACTGTTGTGTAACTGTGAGTCTAAGGTGTTATCTGAGGTAGTCTCAAGAAGTAAAAGAAACAGATGGTTTTTCACTAGGTGGCTGTGAAATTATAGTTTGGTAAGAAATCTCTTATCTGACACTATTATAGAAGGTGTTTGGGTGATTAATTAAGAAAGTCAGTTTTTATAAGTACTCCTATGGAATGGTGCATGTTGTCCTTCACATATGTGTACATTTGTTCTACATTGATGTGGCGTGAAACTCTTTTCTCTGAAAATCTGTCTGTGAATTAGATTTTTTTTTGTTGTACTTTAAGTTGAATGAGAACCCCAAGGCATTTGCAGAGAATCTGGTATAGAATCCTTCAAGATTTGTATGATCCTCCTTCCCACAGCACTACCTGGTTCATGGTCATCTCATATATTTAATATAATTCGGCAACAATTGTCTTATCAGCTTCTCAGTATCAGGTCTTTGCAAAGCATCTGCCTTAGTTTTCATGAAAACAGTTATCACTGTGTACTTATATTTTGTTGGTTTATACAATGTTTAATAAAATTATGTGGTTTTGGTGATAAGTATAAGTGGCCTTAGCAAGTTTGGAAATCATCGTACCTGATACTTGATAACTAAACAGCTCAGTTAGTACCAAAGTCATAAGTAGGCAGTAATTTGCTGTTTGTATGCCTGTGTGCCTACCAGGGGCATCAGCGTGTTATAAAGGGAAACAGGGCATAATGATTCTGTGAACAATGCTTGGAAGTTAGTTTTGAAAGATTTTGAACATCTGTTCAGTTGAATACTCAGCATCCATATAAAATGTCAATTCCAATTAATATGTATTATGAAAAGACATTGAAGTTATGTGTAAAAGGAGAAAAATAGCTTAGAAAAGGTTTATTAAGATTCTGTGTATGTGTGTGTGTTTATGCGTGTGTGTGTGAACATAGAAAAAGGTCAAGAGTTTCATTCAAGGAGGATCCTACAATACTTACCTCCTCCTATGGACACATGAAACCAGTAGCTACACATGGAATAGTTTCCTCCTCTGAGCAACTCCTGCACATCTGGCAAACAACCCACATCAAAGTGGATAGGAGAGGCTGAGACATGGTCTCACCATCCATCCCACTCCCAGCATGGTGACCCGCAATTGGAAGGAAGCTACCATCCCCAGCTGCTCCCTGAGAAGTGAAGGGTCTGAACCCTAAACTTGGCACCCTTCCTTTAAAGACTTGCACCTGGGAGATGAGCCCCCAAACATCTACCTTTGAAAGTCAGTGGAACTGGCATCTGCAAGACCCACCAGACTCATGATGTGAGAAACAGCTTTTGAAGGGCAGCATGAACTTGGTCACCCTCCTGGGGCCTGGCACAGGGACAGTGGCTGAAAAGGGCCCAGACTTTCTGTGAAAGAGGCTTGTTTATTTTAAAGCATCAGCCTGAGGGGCCGGCCTCTCATTTAACACTCTCTGGGGGCTAGGAGGCTGGCAGGAGCTGTCTTTGCCCTCTCTGCCTCATTCCAGCTGGACAGTATCTCCTAGAAAGGAACTTGTGTACTTGTCTGGTGCCCTCATGTTTGCAGTTGCTGCCCAGAGACAACTCTAGGTCACCTGACTTTGGTGACCAGTGAGGCTTACACTTGTAGGTCCCCAGTGTTCACTGCAGTATTATTTGCAATAGGCAAGATATGGAAGCAGGCTTAGTATCCATCGATAGATGAATAGATAAAGAAACCATGATATACACACCACACACACACATACACACACACACACAGGAATATTATTAAGCCATGAAAAGGAACTAAATCTGGACTTCCCTGGTGGTACTGAAAAGGAAAAGTTAAAATTTGACATAACCTCCTGCTCGTTCTGCCTGTGTAACTCAGCTTGCTCCTTGCAGAGTCTGGATTGGGTAGGTCACGTCATCTCAGAAAGTGGGGATTTAAGATACGAGGAACTGGAGCTTATCTCACCACCCTTGTCCTGCTCTTTGCAATTCCCCAGCCCCTGTAAACCTGCTTAATCATGCCTATCCATGTAAAGGTCAGGCATTCCCCTCCCCATCTTGACTGCTGTTCCCGTGCACATGAAACTGCTTCGTTTAAACCAGCCTATTAGCAGCTAGTGTTGCCCACTATAGTCTGTCTGAAAACTCTGTAACCCCTCTGTTTGGGGCTCAGAGCTTAAGGTGTTAACTGCTCTGGGCCCGCTGGCATAATAAACGTGAGTTCTCCAACTCTCCGAGTGTGGTGCTTGGTTTCTCGAGTACTGGTTTCTACAATAGTACAGTGGCTCAGAATCTGCTTGCCAATTCAGGGGACACAGATTTGATCCCTGGTCCGGGCAGATTCAACATGCCACAGAGCAGATGAGCCTCTGAGCCACAGTTGCTCTGCCTGTGCTCTAGAGTCCATTGCCCACAAGAGAAACCACCACAATGAGAAGTCTGCAAACCGCAACACAGAGTAGCCCCTGCTCGCCACAACTAGAGAAAGCCCGCATGCAGCAATGAAGATGCAGCACAACCAAAAATAATAGATAAAAATATTTTTAAAAAAGAAATAAATCTTGCCATTTGTGGCAACGTGGATGGACCTTGAGGGCATTAATGCTACATGACATCAGTTAGAGAAAGATGATCACAATCTCAGTTTTATGTGAAATCTATAAAACAAAACAAAAATTAACTCGAAGGTACTGAGAACAGATTGGTGGTTGCCAGAGCAGGGAGTGGGGAATGGACAAAATGGGTGAAGGGGTCAAATGGTACAGAGTTCTAGTTAATTAGTTAATAAGTCATGGGGATGTGATGTATAACATGGTGACTATAGTTAATAATACTGTACTGTATATTTGAAAGTTTAAGAGAGTAAATCTTAAAATTTATCATGGCAAGAAAAGGAAATTTGTAACTGTGTGATGGATGTTTCCTCATCCATCCTCACAGTGAAAATATTTGGGGAAAAAATTCCAGAAAGTTTCAAAACACAAAATTTGAATTTGCTGCGACAAATATTTACATAGTATTTTCAATGATCTATGTAACTTTTACATTTTATTAGGTATTTTTTAATCTAGAGATGATTTAAAGTGTATGTAAATACTGTGCCGTTTTATTTTAGAGACTGGGACATACCTATATTTTGGTGTCTTTGGGGGTCTTGAAAACAGGCCCCCAGCGATGCTGAGGGATGGCTTTATTTATAGGTTGAAATTGTCACAGTGAGTATTTGTTACTTTTAAAACTGAAGGGAAAAGGAACTATTTCTGTTCTGAGAAGAGCCTAGTTAATGTGTGTAGTTAAAAACAAATGAAATCCCTTTTGGGATTTAGGCAGCAGGAGAGAGTGCTCTTGGTCAGGGGCCTCCCTCTCGGCACCTTGACAGTGTGTGAGCACCTTTATGTCCTGTGTGTTCTAAAGTGCTTTATCCTGACAGCAGTTAACCTTTCAAATGAATAGAATGGTGTTTCTCTGTTGTTCTGTCTCCTTTTATTTGTATATGTAAAATATGATATTGTTGCAATAATTCTTTATTCTGGTTTTATTTTCAGGAAGACTTTGATGTCGATCACTTTGTGTCTGACTGTCGGAAGCGAGTGCAGCTGGAAGCACTCCGAGATGACCTGGAGCTCTACTATAAGCTGCTTAAGACAGCCATGGTTGAGCTCATCAACAAGGACTACGCAGACTTTGTCAACCTGTCAACAAACCTGGTAAACTTGAAATCCACAGTTCCCACCTGTCAGTGTATTTACACATGTACTGCACACTTTTTCTCACTCATGTTTATTCTTAACAGCTCTGAGTCTTTTTAGAAACCTTTTAGTTATTTTCTTTCCCCCAGAAACTTGAAGGGATTGCTAATCTTGATTAATAAAGGAACTAAACTTTCTTAATACACATGTTTTGTGTTTAGTTTAGTTTGATTATTTTTTGAATGACTTACTAAGAAGTGGTGAAAAGTAAAGGATAGCAATACCAAGAGTGTTTGTTTTTGTTAGTTCCTAATTGATTGCCATGAAATCTCACCAGTTTAGACTAATTTCTGAGAGCAGCTATCAACTAACTCTTCTTAAGGAAATGTTTCATTTTCAGGTACATGTGCTAGCCAGAGATAGGTTGAGAAAACATTGGCCAATATTGATCATTAAGCGTATTTTTATACATTTATAAAAATGTAGGAATTGTTTATAAGAAGCATATCAATTACTTGGAAAAGTTGTTTAGAAATACTTGAGTTTTCATACTTGTGAAAGTCTGGTTTGTATTTTGTTTTCAAGTCTGTTTGTCAAGAGGTATGGAAAATAGCCATCTCTATGGGAATTTCAAGAAGCATTGAGAATAATGAGCCATATTTGCTTTTGGGAAATACACCACTAAGATAAATGTTCCAGTAGGATTAGAAACCCTGAAAATTTTATTTCCATCCTATTTAATTTGGATTTTTCTGAAAGGTTGTAATAATGCTTAGGAGAGATGTAGTCCATCAGATTTTCATATCAGCTGGTTGTTTATCATAAACAACAGAGATGGCTATTTTTCCTGTTAGTTTTTTAAGTCATTTAAAATTTCATCCAAAGGCAAATTGTACATAGGAATTTTTGATTTATTATGACTTTCCTTATATTTATAGTTTTTATAGTTATTCTTATAGTTATATATTTATATAGTTTTATATATCAACAGGTTTTTCACATTCAGTGAGCAATATTTATGGCAAAACAACATTTTTTGTTACATAGTTACTAGCAGGATATATTGTATAGAAAGAATAACCTAAGTCTAATACTGCTTTGATCATTAAGCATAGGCTTCACTGTTAATCCTGGCCCTGATATGTTTGTGCCAACATGATTTTGCCTTTAGGTTGGTATGGACAAGGCCCTCAATCAGCTTTCTGTGCCTTTGGGACAGTTACGAGAAGAGGTTCTGGTAAGTCCCCAAATAATAGTAAACAAGCTTCCATAAAGCATATTACACTTGTTTGCCTTCTCCAAGAATTCTTTTATTAATCTGTTAGATTGTTGTGATTGTTGTCGTTGGTGTTTTTTAATGTTCCATGATTATAGTATAATACTTTCAAAATGTAAATGATTTGCTTGTGATATTACAACCTAAGAAACATATTTGGTTTGAAGACGGCAAATTCTCAAGAGTAGACACTTTTAAAAGTTGGGGAGGAGGAGAAGGGTATTTCAGATTTTAAATTTGTCAATACCACCTCACCCATGTATAAGTGGTCTCCAGCTTAGAACTGGCTTACTTATATTTTAAAATTTGTCATTTTACAAGTATTTTCCCAGACAATATTTTATATGTAGTTAGATTCATGGACCAGTTTATACCAGCCATTTAACCCCTGATGTAACTGAAGGGTCATATAAAAATCGTGTAATACCTAGTTTCTCTGAGAAAATCTCTCCCTTGGGAATGGAACTGTCTGCCCCTAAGCCATGAGAAAAGGGACTTCATCCGGGTGAACAGTGGAGAGGGAGTTTTGGTGTCACCTCCAACAGAAAACTGCCGCCCTGCCCTCCCCTCACCCTCTGGGCTGTGCTAGGCGCCTCGCCCTCCCTTCTCCCTTCGTTGTGAAGCACCGCACCATCACTTCCTGTGTGTGTCAGCACTGGACCACGCCAGACCACGTGGCCTTATGCTCCTTGCCTCGAGACAGTACCTGGCACACGCAGGGCTCTCAGTCGATAATGTAGTAAAGAGGTATTGCTTGGATAAAACTGTAGGAAATGCAGGACAATGGGAACGTCAGGGCTGAGAAGTCCCGAGGAGGGTAGGCAAGAAAAATTCGTAAGAGAGGTTAAGTTGTGAGCTGTGCCTTGAACCAGCAGATTGTCTGAAAGTCCGTGTCTTGTTTGAATTTCACAAAGCTTACTTAGGTGCCTTTTGTTGGAATGGAAGAGGAGTTTCTGGTCTGCTGCTGGGTTCCGCACCAGCCTCTGCGGCCGTCCTGCCTCCTTCTCAGGGCTCCTCTTCCTTCTCCCACCTGTAGCCATGACATTTGCCAAACCCCATCCTTTATCAACCTTCCACTCTCTCTGAGCTCTCTCCACTCTGCCCACCTGTGCTTGAACTTCCTCGGCTGCCCTCATGCCTTCAGGCTCTTGGCCTACACTGCCAGCTGCCAGCACCACCTACCGTCCCTTACTCTGCAGCTGTCTTTATCACCACCCTTCTCCTCATCAACCAAGACCTCACCTGCCTTTTTAACCTCAACTCAAGAAGCTTCTCTGAGATTCTAAGATCATTGAGGGATACGACTGTTTCTATCTAATTCATCATTGTATCCTCATTGGCTGACGGTTAGTAGACATTTCATGTTTATTGAATGAATTAATTCACTTTTCTATAAAATTTTTGTGATTTGTCTGGTGGTGGTGGTTTAGTCGCTAAGTCGTGTCTGACTCTTGGACCCCATGGACTGTAGCCTGTCAGGCTCCTCTGTCCATGGGATTCTCCAGGCAAGAGTACTGGAGTGGGTTGCCATGTCTAGTTTATTCTCATCGTTTCTTTTACCTTTGCTTTGGCCTGATTCTTCATATTTTTTTTAATTTATTAGCTTCTGGACATGTTTCTCCACCTATGAGCTGCCTTTTCCTGGCCATTCTTTTCCTCACTCCTTGATTCGTAATATCCTTAGAACAACATGGCATGAAGTATCAGTGCTTAAGGATTGTTTAGTTCCTGATAGAATCTAGTCTAAACTTCTCCTAAATCTCCCCCCACCCCCCCGTTTATTTCTACTTCTGTCCAAAATGAAGGCTGCTGTGCACCCGGGTGCACCCTCCAACCCTGAGTGCGCCCTGTCAGTTGTACCTTTCCACCCTCTGTCTTCTAGTGACTGCTCTCCTCCACCGTCGGCCTCCACAGGCTCTCCAAATCAGACTCGAGTTCCATCCCCTGTGCCAGATTTTCCTAGTCTTTGATTCAGATGATTCTTTCTGTACTCTGACCACGTATGACGGTGATTGTATATGTATTGGGTTGGCCAGCAAGTTCCACTGGTTTTTTAAGTAAAAATAAAAGACACCGTTTTCGTTTTCACCAAGAACTTTATTGAACAGTGTATTCACAGTTTTGTCCCACTACCTTCTGCTGTTTTTTTCAGGCAGCTTCATAATTCCATCTTCCCAATTCCATCTTTTTATATTTTTGAGCAAAGAACTGTTGCAGGTGTCTTTTATGGTCTTCCAGGGAATTGAAATTTTTCCATTAAGAGAATTTGGTAAAGACCAAAATAAGTGAAAATCTGAAGGTACAATGCTGGGTGACTATGGTGGATGAATGAGAACCTCCCAGCCAAGCTATAACAGTTTTTGCCTCGTCATCAAATAAACGTGGTCTTGAGTTATCTTGATGCAAGATTATGCGTTTTCTCTTGACTAATTCCAGATGCTTTTTGTCTAGTGCTGCCTTCAGTTTGTCTAACTGGGAGCAAGTACTTGTTAGAATTAATCATTTGGTTTTCCAGAAGGAGCTCATTATAGAGAATTCCCTTCCAATCCCACCATATACACAGCATCAAGAGCAGCCTTACGTATGATTGTGGTGGCTCATTTTGTTTGCCCCATGAGCTCTTCCATTCCACATAATTGTACAGTATCCACAGAGGATGAAATGGTTGGATAGCATCATCGACTCAATGGACATGAGTTTGAGCAAACTCTGGGAGATAGTGAAGGACAGGGAAGCCGGGTGTGCTGCAGTCCACGGGGACAACTGAGCAACTGAACAACACCACCAATTCACTTTTCTCTCTCCTGTCACAATTTTTTTAAAAATTAAACATTTTTATTACATTTAAGTAGAGAATTCCCTGGGGAAATATGGTCAAGAAGGTTCTTTTTTTGCTTCACTTATGTGGAACCCAAACATCAAAACGACTCACATAACCAAGCTGGTGCAGATGGTGTTCAACAGTCAATTTGGATATTTTGAGTATGTTGGCCATCTCCTGCATGGTATAGCATTGATTGTTCTCACTTAAGGTCTCAATTTGATTGCTGTCAACTTCAACTGCTCTTTTCAACCGTGGCCAAATCTATCCAGTGAGAAGTCTCCAGCACAGAACTTTGCAAGCCATTTTGACACTTCAGTCAGTCACAGCACCTTCTCCATACATTGCACAAATCTTACTTTGCTTTTCAGTTGCATTTTTACCTTTCTTGAAATAATAAACATAATACACAGAAAATGTTGCTTTTTTTCTCCTTTAATATTAAAATGACTACACAAAAATTCAGTAGTCTTGATTTTTTTTTTAATGTACACTGATATGACAGCTGTCACAGTACAGTCTTACAAAATTATTTCTAATGAAATTAAAGGCGGCCAGGCACTACTAGAGCCATCTTATGGTAAAAAGTAAACTAATTTTTTTGCCAACCCAATATTATTATTATTTTGGCCGTTAATCCTCTGTGATCTTGGCTTTATATGTCATTTTGCCCTCAAATCATGAGTACCCTCAACAGCAGTTGTATTTAATATTATGTATTTTTGTCAATATCTACATAATACTGGCCCAAATATAATTAAGTTATAAGGAATTAAATGTATAAGTTTCGTAATGCCACAAAACAATTTATGCAGTACATTTTCTTTATTCTTTTAAAGAGTCTTCGGTCATCTGTCAGTGAAGGAATTCGGGCAGTAGATGAACGAATGTCTAAACAAGAGGACATTAGGAAAAAAAAGGTATCCTTGAGACATACTGTTAAACATGGGCTTATGGTAGCATTTTGGAGCTAACGGCACTTTCCTGGATGCGGTGTGATATACTCCTCTTGGTACCTTTGCAGAGAGGAGTGTGGGATCTTCCTTTCTCTTTAGGCATCAGCAATCAGCCAGGCTCCTGAGGGGTTCAGCCAGAGCTGGAGCCCAGGTCTTCTCACTCCTTGGCTGATTAAAGTCCTATTAATAAGAAGGGTGTGGTAAAGTAACTAATTGAAGAAGAAGACAAAGAATATTGCATATTCTTGTGCTTTATTAATGATAGCATCAAAAATTTAAATGTAGATTTCTTATGCTACATGCCAGCTAAAAGCCTCATGTCTTCTCAACTTCTCACCATATGAAACTTTTTATTTTCTCCCAAAACTGTTACTATGCTTATAATGTCATGTTAACTATTTGAAATAAAGCAGAATTTTAGAGGTACCCAAATGGACACAGAATTAACATTCCTCAGTTTTTCCAGAATAAGACACAGGAATAACTGGTATCAGTGAAGCATTTTGCAGTTTAACAGGCATAAAACTAATTTCTCAGCACCCTTGTAAAGAAGATGTTCAAATTTTAGTGATTAGGGAGCAAGTAAGCCTTCTAAGGCCAACCCTTCCAATGTTCTGCTGCAGGTTGAAAAATTAGTGTGTTGCTCTCTCGTTCTGCCACATTTACTTCTTTTGTTTCCACTTCTTAACTGTACATCTGCATGCAGTACTTTTAATTTTTAGCAGTTTTATGTTTTGATTTTACTTTCTGACTTTAATGGATATATATTACATTATATATATCCATTATTATATATATTATAATAATATATAACATATATTATACATATATCCATTATTAATGGATATAATAGGATTAGAATTTGAGACAATTATCAGCTTTTGTCCAGAGATTTCAAGAGTGTAGTGCCTTTCTAGAAAAGATTGTAAGCTTTGTGAGAGCAGGGACTTTTTGCCTGTTCTATTCACTCGTGTCCTCCCTGTCTGGAACAATGTTAGGTGCACAATAGGGGCTCAGTAACTATTTTATTTTGTCTTTTTTAAAATTAATTTTTATTGGAGTATAGTTGCTTTACAACGTTTTAGTTTCTGCTGTGCAGCAAAGTGAATCCGTTACACACACACATGTGTCCCCTCATGTTTAGATTTCTTTCCCATTTAGGTCACCACAGAGCACTGAATAGAATTCCCTGTGCTATACAGTAGGTTCTGGTAACTATTTGTTTAATGAGTGACTTTATATCTTTCTGTTCTTTTAAGGATGGGTTTTTTTATAATGTCCAACTTCTTTGATAAGGTTGTGTAATAATGTCTGATGAATTGATGCTTAAGCATATAATTGTGTCACATACAAGTAAATAGGACAAAGATGATCAGAAGCTACAGTTATAATATGAAAAAGGGTCATAAGAAAATAAATGTAGTACCTATAGAGAGGTTCATTTAAGATAGGAAAAGAAAGGAATAAAAGTGTGGGAAATGAGAAAACAAAAAGTCTAGTTTTCTTCTTTTTTTAACTATAAACTTGCAGTAGAATATTGAAAATATGCTTTTTCTTGACACCTAAAATTAAGATTTGCATTCTTGGGAATTCAGTTTTATGTAGTATTCAAAATATAGATTGCCCTATATACTCTAAGTTGACTTTTTGCTTTGTATTTCCCTGTATTTAGAATGGGGAAATAAGATGATTAAGATTAAATACCATGATAACTTTTCATTTGCTTAATTATTTTATAGATATGTGTGTTGCGGCTTATACAGGTTATTCGATCGGTTGAGAAAATTGAAAAAATCTTAAATTCTCAACATCCTAAAGAAACATCTGCACTAGAAGCAAGCAGGTAAGTATTTTCTTTACTAAATATTACATAAATTAATACTCCACAACTAGCCTAAATTCTTTTTTTTTTTTTTTAGTTAAAATTCATTTCTGAAAAAGAAGAAAAGTCAAGTCTATGGTAAACAGTGTTTTTGAGTGTAGCTTGTGGAAAGTGGAGGGTGTGAGATGGTTAAGTTTATAATACATCCTTAAAGGCTTTATGGTTATGGGTCACAGTTCCAATACATCACTTCACGGGGAATCAGATGAGTGTGCTTTTACTGGAGGAATTTTATCTTTGGAATTGCCTTATAGAAGCACTGGCAAAATTTTGTTGATCTGCAAGATATGAAAGAGCTTTTGTCTTTCCTAAATTCATTTAGACCAGAGTAATGCCCAGAGTATTGCCACTTATGTATCTTACCCTAGCATTACATCATTTAAGAAACAGGATAGGCACATTTAATTAACGTTTGTCAACAAAGAAAAAAAGCTTGTGAAATTAGAAAAAGATGACCATTTTCTTTGTTACATACTGCAACTGTCTTATCTTTCTAGTCTGAATTTTAAATCAGCCAGGTAGGTGAGTGACACAGAAAATGAGTAGCTCATACCAGCACCATGGGAAGCACCATGGTGCCGTGGACAGATTTGTGCTGAATATTCCACTGTGCAGCCTGAGCCATGGAACTCAACTCCTGGTGTCATTGACAATGGAAGGCTAACGGGAACTCCTCTGGCAGGGTTGTCTGACACTGAGGTGCTGTCAGCCCATACCTGGCATGTAGTAGGCCCTCAGTTCAGTTCAGTTGCTCAGTCATGTTCGACTGTTTGTGACCCCATTTGATGGGTCATCCCTTCTGACCCATCCAGGGGAGCTGTTTGTCTCAAACTGTTCCAAGTCTCTTGCCCTCAGCTGCCTTGGCAGCTCCTGCCAGCTTATCCTCACTCGACATCCACCATACCTGCCTGCCTTCCTGTTTTCTTTCCATTTTTGTCCATTTGTACTCTTCCATTGATAGAAATGCATCACAATGTCTTTTTCTATACCACTGGTCCTTTGTGGTATTCTATCTTTAATGTAATAGATATTATGCTGTTTCTTGCTCAGGATCACCTTTGAGGACTTTTTAAAAATTCAGATCAGCAACTTTGAGTTGTAGAGGAGGGAAAACCAGGGCAGGGCAATGTAAATAACTGGGTAGAGATAGAGAGACGGAAGGGAAGTTAACAATGAAGAAGGTCCTGAATGAGAGAGGCTGGGGGAGGAGATGTAAACACCCACACCGGCCTGGGCCAGCTCTTACTTCTCGGCTGGACCCTGTGGTCGGGGCCTGGCAGTGCTTATATTTAACTATTCTAGTTTTCCACTGTCCTAGAACATGCTGTAAAAGCTATGGCGCAAAGGATGCTATAGCTTCTACCTTATAACAAGGGGGCTATGGAAAAGCACAATGAAAGCATCAGGATTGCTGATCGTGTGATACATTCTTGGAAATTAAAAACTTTTAGGAATTAACTCTTTTTAATTGTCTCCACTAGCCCGCTTTTAACTGGACAGATTTTGGAGAGAATTGCCACAGAATTTAATCAGTTACAGTTTCATGCTGTTCAAAGCAAAGGCTTGCCTCTTTTGGACAAAATAAGACCAGTAAGTGTTGTTTTAGATTTTCACACTTTAGTATTTAGGAATTTGCTAAATAATTTTGGTTTTACCTGGTATAGGCAGACCTTGTTTTATTGCCCTTAGATTTATTGTGTTTCACAGATACTGCACTTTTTTTTTTTAATTGAAGGTTTATTGCAGCACTGCATCAAGCAGGTCTATCACCATGCTAGTACCCTTTTAACAGCACTTGCTCACTTCAAGTGCTGTTATCTTTGTATCTCATTCTGGTAGTTTTCACAGTATTTCACACCTCCACCAGCAAAATGATTATAGCTTACTGAAGGTTCACATGATGGTTGCATTTTTTAGCAATAAAGCATGTTTTAATTAAAGTAATTAAGGTCTGTATCTTGTTTTTTTTTTTACACATAATGCTTTTGCAAACTCAATGTACTGTATGTAGTACAGTATAAACATACCCTTTATATCTGCTGGGAATCCAAGAAACCCCCATAACTGGCTTTATTGTGCTAGTAGTCAATTTACTGTGGTGGCCTCGAACCACACCTGCAGTATCGCCAAGGTATGCCTGCATTGTTCTGGCAGTTGTTGATCTGCAGGATTTTGAAACTAGCTTTGAATTTTCTCTTTCAGTTTTTGTTTTTTAGGCCCCTGCCTCCTAAGTGTCACACATTATAGATTTTGTGTAAAGACATAGGCATATTCTCTGAATTATCAGGGTAAAATTAATTCTAAGTTTCATGTAACTTGACACACTATATGATTTAATCAGAATTAATTTATCCAGAACTCTTGACTGGACTTTAGAATCATGATGTTTGTCAGTTACTCTGTAGCTTAAAAGAACCTCATTCTGAAGTGATATCTAAATCCTCCTTTGATACAGCAAAGATTAACTTACAAAGAGATGTGAGGAGGAGGAGAGATTCATTGTTCCTTTCCAGAAAATGTTAATATTTAATTTTACATATCTTCTGTTGGAATAAGAAATTTGTTATGTGTGTGTTTGGATCTTTAGAAATGATTACAACTGGAGCTTTTTAATCTGTCTGTCTTGCAGCGTATAGCTGGTATTACAGCCATGTTACAACAGTCACTGGAAGGCCTCCTGTTAGAAGGTCTTCAGACTTCCAGTGTCGATATTATTCGGCACTGCTTACGGACTTACGCCACAATTGACAAGACACGGGATGCAGAGGCGTTAGTTGGTCAAGTCCTTGTGAAACCCTACGTAGATGAGGTTTGTGTACTGTTGAATCAGACCTTCATTCAGCAGATGTTCATAGAGCATCTGCTCTGTCTTGGATGCTTTACTGGGTGTAAGGGGTAGTTTAGAGGCCTTTCTGTAAAGATTCTCAGTGACTGTAGTACCATCAGTTGTAAGAAAAGGTTGGTCCCTGGTGGTTACAACCAGCATACAGGAGTCAGGCACCTTCTCAGTGTTTTTTAGTGATGCTATAGCCCAGGGATCATGTTAATTTAGTGGGAGGAGGGTCTTGCCTAGGGAGAAGGAATGTATCAAAACATTTTAGGTCAGTTTTATGGTATGTAAGTTATTTGCCACTAAATTCTTAAAATGAATTTTTAACTACTGGTCTAGTGGGTAAAATGGAACAAGTAAGCAGATCCCAAAACCGCAGTGTAAGTTCCTGGTGAGGGAGCCTGCTGAAACCCTGACCATGGAAAGTCTGTGCTGAAGGTTATCTTCACAGAGATGTGGCCTAAGTCTTGAATACTGAGGAGTCTCTTAGCCAGGAAGGTGGGAGGGAGGAAATAGTCACTGATGCAGGACTTTCATAGGCATATTAGCAGCATAATACCTAAGTCCAGAACTTGACTATCCAGTGTCCTTCATCTCCAAGGATGCAGTTACACTTTGGAAAGTAAGCATATTCTGCCTTTGAGCAGCCAGGATGTAGACTGTACCATATGAAGTTGCCAATACTCAACGTTTTCTGATGCACAAAAACGGCAGCTTCATCTGGTTCAAACTGATGAAAGTCACAAGCCCATCCTCAGTGTTTGCAGACTCTCTTCAGTCCTCTGTCCGTGTGGGTGCTCTTCCTGTCCAGTAAGGACAAAGCCCTGTTCACCGTGGCTTTGGGATGAAAGCCTCCCATTTATAAATGGGGGAAATGGAATCCCATTGATAAAATGAAATGTAAGGATTAACTTCAGTAATCCTTTCAGCTTTCATTAGGGTTACTAAAAATAAATGATCTGTCAGTTTCCTCTCTTCCTATCCTGTTATATTTCTTACCTAACTTGATAAGAATGCAAAAGACAAATTACCTACATTATTTCTTTCTCAGTAAGTGAAAATCGCTACTAGCTTAGCCTTTGTTTTTCATTGAACTGAACCTAATGTGCTAAATGAGAGAAACATTTGATATTTCAGTGGCATATTAAATAAACCAAGGCCACAGTTTAATTTTTTTTAATTCGTATGCTTATCTTGTCATTAACCTCTTGACTCTCAACCTTGACACAAGAGATAAAATAATAAAGTAAAATAAAATATATATTTACATCTTTCTGTGTCTCACGCCTTCCCCTGATCTAAATTATGGTAGAAGAAAAGGCCGAGGTCAGTACAGGGAGGGGCTGTTGTTATTGGAAATTGTCATTTTATTTTGTTTTCAGTCTCGGGAGGGGAGGAGCCAAGTGTGCTTGGCTTTTCGGCTTCAGGCCAGTCTCTGTTACCCAGCCTGTGTCTCCCCTGGGTCAGAGCTGTGCTTCCACATCCTGAAACTAGTTCTGAGTATAGCTGTTACTGTTAGAAAACATGTTAGCTGGGGAGGAGGGGGCATGAGGAAGCATACTTTTGAGGTTTTCTCTATTTTTCCTATACTGTGTAATTCATACCTCTCTTTGAGATGCTTTTTTTAAATGTTATTTGTTTAATAGGTGATTCTAGAGCAGATTGTTGATAGTAATCTGAGTGATCTCCAGCTCATGTATGATAAACTCTTGGAGTTCGTTCCCCATCACTGCCGCCTTCTTCGAGAGGTCACAGGAGGAGCCATCTCAAGGTAGTTTAAGCAGCTGTACTTAGAACTTGCGCCTGCTGATTATTGCTGCCTCGTTTGGTTCGGGTTCATATGCGCTCCCCTGGTGAATTGTTAGCATGGCACTATGAGGTGGGTGTGGGTCACCGCCTCAGAAGGAAACTGTAAAGAGTAGGGCAGAGGTAAAGGGTGCATCTTTCTGAATTCACAACCCATACTTTCCCCTTTTGTGTACTTTTTTCTCAATTACATGTGAAATAAAAGTTGGTTTCCTTCCATTATTCTGATGTTGTAATCTGTTTATAAATATGAATTCAGTGTAACTCAAATTTTATATTAATTGTGGTTAAAGTCATCTTCAGTTTTCCCTCCTCTTTCCTGATTTCCATACTTTTCGCTTTGTTTCATAAATACCCGGCTGCCTTTCACCATCACCACTGGCCTGATCCGGGCCTTCGTCATAGTTTTATCCAGAATAACAGGATCTGCCCACCCCCTCTCCCTGACTCCACCCTCTCCCTTCTCACCCTTCCCCTCTGCCCTTCGGCTGTCACACTGACCCACAATTCTGATATTTAGGCGCTGCCTTCTTTCTAAGTCTTTAGTGGCTTCTTGTTGCGTGTGGAGGAAAGTCTAGGTGTCTTGATGCGGCGTACAAGGCCCTGCGCACTCCGGCCTCAGTGGTCCTTGTGTGTGGCACTCTGTGGGCTTCCCTTGCTCCGCTGGTCCCTGGCACACATTTGGTGGGTCTGTGTTTTTCCTGAGTCCTCTGTCTTTCCCTTTGTTTTTGTTGATCTGTCATCCCATGTGAAGCCCCAACTCAGATGCCACTTCCTTCAAGAGACCTCTCACCTTTCATTCTGAAGTCTAGCTTTCATCCTGTTCTCTGCAGGCGATTGCATGTTGCTTTCGCTTCTGTTGAGGACTAGTTTCCATCTTAACAGCTTGCTCCCATCCTGCACAACCCATACTCCCCACACCTGGCACAGTGTCTTAAGACAGCAACCACCCAATGTTTGCAAAATGAAAGACTCAGTCAATTTGCAGCATTAGCAAGGCAAATCAAGTCCCTTTCTTCATGGAGTGAAAATTATTTTTAGTCTTGAAATTTTTTTCTTTGAAAAGAGAAACCTGGGGAGTAAATGTGCTGATTGACTGGGAAGTACCCTCTCTGTTTCCACTAGATGATTTCAGATGAAGCTTTGTTTTGCTGCTTTTGTGTAATAATCATGAAGATTTAGTTGGATTTAGATTTGGGGTAAGAATTTAATAGCAATCATCATGTGAAATTAAAGAAGCCACAGTAACAAAACAACCGATCCTTAGATTTGACAAGCCTGGTCTTAGTCCTGAAATGTCAAGTTTCATGCCTCACATGTTCTTTTCCACAGTTTTCAGGGTGGCAGAACTCATGTAGAAAGCTCAGAAATTTGAGTATCTAGACTGTACCTTGGTAGGCCATCTGCCCTTGCTTCACGCCGCATCGTCTTGTTGCCTGGACCCTCCCTGGCTCAGCATCTGCCTTTGGGTGCTCTGTATCCCCGGCAACAGCAGTGATGTTCAGGAGTTATTTTCCAGAGGACGTAAATTAGCTTTTCTAATTGTTGGTCTTGCAGATTTAAATTTTCCTTTTGAGGCTTTAATTGTATATTTAGTTTGGAAATGAGGTGATCTTGTCATTCATTGTTGCTCACATTATGTGCATTTGTATTCTAAAATCTTCAATTTTGTTCTCTCTTCCTATACCTTATTAGAGCTAGTTCTTATTGTGATTAAAAGTATATGATATGATACGTGGAATTTGGTATGTGGGACATAGGCATCTCCTTTCCCTCATCGAATATAAAGAAAATTACCTTAATATAGAGCATGTTAACAATGCAGCAAAGTGGGTGACTCAGTGAGATGCTGTTGCCTAAAGATATTTACAGATTTTTAAGTACAGAGAAACTTAAGGAACCCGCCTTTTTTATTTATGTACTGTGTATTTAACACTATTAACATAGCACTTACTACATGCCAGTAAGTGCTAGATGCTTTACAAACCTTACACCATCCTAAATGCTTTACAAATCTTATTTTATTATTACAAATCATATAGGTTATATAATGACCCTATGATTTTAAAGATGAGGAAACCAAAACACAGGGAAGTTAAATGACCTGAGATTTGAACTCAGGTGCTGTGGCTCCTGAGAGCATGATTTTCTCTCAGTGTTCTCTCTCATCTAAGTGTGTGAATTAGAAACTCAGAATTTGGCCTTTTTGCTGACAATGCAAAATAAAACATGTGCATATGGAAACCATGAATGTTATCAGGTTTTTTTTGTATTAAGATTTGTAATCCAGATTTTACATGAAATAGTCATAGAACATTAGACCTGTAGGTAATCAGAGAGAGCTGAATCACAGAGCTGTTAGTAATTGGTAAATTAGTGTGACTTACAGTGTTTTAGAGTTGAGTGGTGTTAAGGTTGAATACAAAGATTGCTTTTCTTGTGGTATTAGATTGCTGCTTTTTCAAGATAGTGTATAAACATGGTAGCCCATTTAAGGGGAGAAAACTGCCATGGCAAGTTGGCGTAGTTTTCCATTATCCTTGACCCCAGCTGTCTGCTATGTTTGCTATAATTGTAGGAGTCAGGACACAGAGGATGTGTCAGGTTCTAGGTGAGAATGAGATCAAGGAGTGAAATACAAGTTTGGGCCTAAAAACAAAATAATTGACAAATACAGTTGTTTTTAAAAGGTTGAAGTAAATTTTAGGCTGAGGAACTTTTATTTTTACTAAAACACCACAGTGGAGTTTTGCTTTTTGTAAGTAGATGTTTCTGGTGTATTTGACTGAAATTTTTCTCCTATTTTACAGTGAAAAGGGCAATACTGTTCCCGGCTATGATTTTTTGGTGAATTCTGTCTGGCCAGAAATAGTACGAGGATTAGAAGAAAAATTACCCTCGCTTTTTAATCCTGGGAATCCTGATGCATTTCACCAGGTACCTTTTCCTCTGTTGTCTTGATTCTTGAAGGTTAACCTGAGATAATCATGTCTTTTTTGCACAGTCTTGGTTCTGTGGTTTATTGAAAATCACAATCTGAGTTGCGGTGCCAGCATTTACCTTAAAAATACACACACTGTTTTATTCAAGTCATAGTCTCTGATACTTTGGGGACTAAGAATATATTTTAGTATGTAAGGTAGAATTCAGTCAAGAAGCAATTATGACTAGATATGGATGTTTTAAATCTAAATTTTAAAAAAGATCTTAAGGACTATTGACAACAACTACAGTTTTCAATGAAAAATTAGGTTTGTAGAACTCTGCTATATCACTTTGAAGGAAAACAAGAAGTAGTAATTGTAGTATATATTATGTAATTAATATTATAATTATTAATGTAGTATAAAAATGTCCTATATAGGGACATCCCTGGCGGTCCAGTGGTTAAGACTTTGCTCCCCAGTGCAGGGGGCGCAGGTTCGATCCCTGGTCAGGGAGCTAAGAACCCACATGCCTGGCGGCCAAAAACCAAAACATGAAACGGAAACAGTATTGTAACAAATTCAATAAAGACTTTAAAAGTGGTCCACATCAAAAAAAAAAAAAAATCTTAAAAAAAAAAATGTCCTATATAATTTGAAAGATTAAGAGACTTTGATATTTCTTTTTAAAAAAAAAAAAATCATGTCTTTTATTTAAAGGACTTCATGGTTGGTATATCAGAAGGAAACCCATATGTTAATTTTCCGTTTTTTAAAGATGTTATGTAGTGTCCTGGAGAAGAATGAAGACTCTAGGCCAAATGGCCTGAGTCTGCACCCCACTCTCCTGCTCAGCACCCTGTTGCTCAGCCTCTTGGTGCCTCTCCTCCTCTTCCTGCTCTGGATTTTTATTTTATTTTATTTTTTTATTCAATATGACAGTCTTTGATAATTTATTAAATTGGCAGTGATCGTCGTGATTGATATATTTTCGGTTTTTTTAGTTCTTCCTATTTGTCCCATTTTTCTTCCTTCTTTTCCTTTCTCTCGTCTTTTTTTTTTTTTATTTCCCACCTTCTCTTTATTTTGCACTTTCGGGAATTTGTTTTTCTCATTTATTCTCTTTTACCCCTCTACTAATTTGGAAGTTCTGCCCTCTGTTTATTTGTGTGTTAAGTAACCTTAGAGAGTTTAAGAGAATTTAAAGTTACTGGTGTTCTTCAGCCTCCCAAACAGCACAAGGATCTTAGATGCCAGTCATGCGATTCCATAGTATATATTAGTTACCAGGGTCTTATTTCTATTTTGATTTTTTTATGCCTCCCCCCGCAAATTGGGCATTATTTTTATTGCTTTAACATGGCCATCATCTGCCTCTCAAAACTATTCCACATGTTTATCATTTCCTTTGCTTATTGTTCCTTCTTGGATGTTATACCTTCTTGGATCATTTTCCTACCTCTTGAAATTCATCTCTTACAAATTTATGTTAATAATAAATTTCACTTTTTTATGATAAACCCTCAGTTAATATTTGTTTGAAAATAACTTTATACCTTTTATGTTTGAAAGGTAGTTTTGCTGGAAGTAGAATTCTCTGCACATTGAACTTTGTCACTTGAAAGTAGTTGTTGCTGTTGTTTCTTGGTAGTTACAATGGCTTTTTCCCCTGGCTCCTTTTAAAATTTCCCCAGTGATTTTGGTGTGCTGTTTCATTATGATATATCTAGTGTGGACTTCTTTTTATTTGCTGAATTTAAGATTTGTTGGGTTTTCTGAATCTGAGGATTGGTGGTTTTTTAAACCATTACTATATCATTTTTATTCATTAACTCAGTGGTACTTCTGTCTCATTCCTTTACTATTTGCTTTTAGAACTCTTAATTAATTATCCTCACTTTATCTTTCATGCTTCCTAAATTTACTTTTTTATTTTTCATCTCTTTGTGCTACATTCTGGGTAATTTCTTGGGACTTTTCTTCTAGTTCAAGAATTTCTTCTTCAGTTGTGTCTAAATTCCTTTTCACCTGTTTCAAACTTATCATTATTTTCATTTCTAGCAGCTCTATTTTCCTCTTTTTCTACTTGTGCTTGGTCGCTTCGCTTACTGATTTTTAAAGTGTAGAGAGGCACAAGTTGAGTGTGGTGAGCCTGGGCCTAATAACTTCACAACAGGTGAAGTTGACAAATTCAGAACTTTATTATCAGAAATACCACTTATCTGTTCTCTTGACCCTTGTTACAGTATGTTGAACCATATAATTAAGTAATATGATTTTCAACCAGTTGTGTGACACTGAGTTTTGTGACTTTATAAAATAGATCTATATAAATAAATGAATAAAGTAGAGCTTTTAAAAATAGATACCATGAGCAGAATGAAGTAATGGTCTTAAGCATTAGCAATTTAGACCCTTTACATCCCTCTTTAGAGAGTCATATTGATCATGTTAGGCTCAGGAGATTTTCCAGCTCAGACATGAAGCTTTCTGATGAAAGGTTGACTTTAGAATTTTAAACCAATACTTAATGCTCGTGGTTACATTTCTTGCAAGAAATGCTTTCAGTTTTCAGTGTTAATGGGACATGCTTTTAGAAGAGAGAAGTATTTTTGCATTCCTTTAACATCCATTATATGCAGGGGTGTAGTTTTATCCCAAAAGGGATGAGTAATACTTGTCTTTGTCTCAGCTCCTCACATCTAGACCACACTTAGGGAATTCAGTAAGTGTAGCTAAGAGTTGGACAGGCTGAGTGACTTTACTTTCACTTTTCACTTTCATGCACTGGGAAAGGAAATGGCAACCTACTCCAGTGTTCTTGCCTGGAGAATCCCAGGGACGGGGGAGCCTGCTGGGCTGCCGTCTGTGGGGTCGCACAGAGTCGGACACAACAGAAGCGTCTTAGCAGCAGCAGCTCCAAGCCAGCTGAAAGGAATTTAACACTATAGTGGTGTTTACTGTACTACAATTCCCATGTAATCACAGACATCGTATTTAGGTGATTGGTTTGGTGACCCAGAAGAGAGCTTCTCTTAAGTGAGAAGTACATGGGAAATCCTGCAGTGTTCTCCCTAGAGCCTGGGGATTGAGTGCCCTTGCCAAAGGATGTGCCGCTGCAGTTTTGCACTGCTGACTGTCTGGGCTTCTGGTTCCTCTATTTCCTTGCTTTGTTTCTGAGTAAATTCTCTCTGAGCCTGAGCAGAAGAGGAAGTGTCATCTCTATGGGAGATGATAATAAAAGCAGTTAACCTAGTAGTGTAGTTTTCTGGGTTAAATTAAATAAAACAATTGTAAGCACTGTGTCCAGATGATATATGTTCAGTAAGTGTTATCTGCTGCTCTTAGTGGTGTTGCTAGGTTCCCCTTGTCAGTCTTCATGCTGTCCCATCTATAAAATGATGTAATGACTCACATGGTTTGAGTAATTTCTTTCCTTTTCTTCCCCCCTTTCTTTCCTTTTTTAAAATTTTCTACTTCTTCTTGAAAGGCAGTGAAAATTATACCACTTAATCTGTGATCTCTTGTGGTTCCAGTGGACAGTTAGGGGTGCCCTAGAAGATGAGTGAGAGCTGTCATTTAAAGATCACTGGACTTAGAATACCTGGGTCTCTTGATGGGCTTGCCACTTAAGACCTTGAGCAAGTCATAGAACCACTTTGGGCATTATTCAGTGTGGGGATCTTCAGAGGAAGAGCCTGTAAGGGCCTAATGAGATCTTAAACCTATGATTCTGTGTGTTGATCTTTACCTTGATTTCCATTGTTCAGTATATGATCCCGATTCTGGTTAGTTTACTTAAAATGAAAATTCCACCTGTTTGTTCTTATTTTAGAAATATACCATAAGTATGGATTTTGTAAGAACATTTGAACGGCAATGTGGATCACAGGCCAGTGTAAAAAGATTAAGAGCACATCCCGCCTATCACAGCTTCAATAATAAGTGGAACTTGCCTGTTTATTTTCAAATAAGGTCAGTAATTTATTCCCATCACCTCCACCCTTCTGAAATAGGATTTGAACACCAGTTCAGATGGACTGAACTCCATTTCACAGCCCCTTCTTGGAGACCATCATATTATTCCTTGGGAAACAATTTAGAGCAGAAACGCACAAGAAGTATCATGATCGCCAAAGTTCTGCCCTGTATGACAAAAGGATTAAGTTTTACTCTCTTGTCATAAGCAAGCTGAGAACGCTGGACTCCAAGGGAGCTAGACCAGGCCCAGCTTCATTCCCAGGCGCTATGCCTTCATTCACCATGAAGAGACGGAGAGAGCTGGTCACCTGGCAGCTCCTCCTCTCCCTTTTCCTCTTCCATCCCTTGCTTCAAATAGCAGGCCTATCCTTCATCTGTAGTTTCGCTCATCTGTAACACTTTTATCCTCAGAGGGAATCAGGAAAAGTGTTCTTTCTTGAAATATTCTTTGTAGCTGATTCCATCCATCAATTTATAAGAATTGTAGTTATTATTTTGCCTTCCTTTATAATCTTGGTGAGTATTCTGGAAAATGGTGACACTTTGCTTCCAGATAGCATAATGATATCACCAGTGCCAGTAAGTGGTCCTGTAGACAATTTGGGGGCAATTTAGGATAAATTCTTAACAATGTATGTTCCCCTAGTAAAAGAGATGATAATATAGCCATTTTTGCAGATTCTCTTGAATGAGATCACAGTAAGTTCCTCCATAGAATGGTGTTAACTAAAGCATTTTAGTTAGAATGGTTTTTAAAGACTTGCAAGCTTTTTGTTTAAATTCCTGGATGCTTTCATTAATTATGATGCAGTCCTTCCCTGGAGGTCTGAGGAATAATTACAGAGAGGGAAACATATTAAATCCCTTGACTTGTAATTACTTGCCATGATTGACAATGTAATATAATCGTCTTTTGATGATGAAATCAAAGCTGTCAGACCGTTAGTATGGTGCTCTTTTACATACAGTACTGAGCTTTAAACTTAATTTTTCAAGGTTATATTATCATGTAGGTAAGAAATTAAGGATTTGTTTGTCTGAGATACTCATGGACTGCATGGGACGTAATCGTTACGTGATGATCAAGATGTAGCCAGGGCAAGAAGCCCTTTTGGTTTGTGAGAAAAATTTAAAATGGTGAAGCATCATTTTATAGTGTAAGAGTGCAGTAGAGAAATAATATTTAAGCTTTCCGTGTCTCCTGTAGTCTCCATTTTGGGTTAGATTGCTTTAGATATCTAATAACCATCACAGCCCATCCTCCTGTTTACTGCCTCCAAATGCCTCTTATCTAGTTATTTCCCCAGACCCCATACCCCCACACTTGGATAATCTTGCACTGTCATGTCATTCTGCCTTCTGGAGTTCTGGGCCCTGCAGGGTAGCACAGCCTGACCTCAGCCCATTCTCCTCTCATCATAGGTTCTCTCAAAGCTGGTAATTGAGTCTTAAACTATGCTGAAACTCAGCTAGTCCCATGAAAGACATTTTTAATCTTCACCAGAGTTCAGCCATAAGCATTTAAAGGAATTGCTTAACTTTTCTTTGTGAATAGTTTTATTTAAAATTGATGAAATTTAAAAAGTTATGTTTGAGTTATGAAGTGTGGAACCTATTTTCAGTGCATTTGCTCTTCCACTTAAAAAGAAATTCAGGTAATACTTTATAGAACACCATTCTGTTGATTTTTGTCAGTGGTTGGGTTATTTATTCTCTGGGATAACAGAATGTTCTGCGAACATGGCTAGTGTCAAAGCTGTATTGCTCTCTGATTCACTTCAGGGTCATTTAAAGTAAGCCTAAACGCCAGTAGGGTGGTGATGTTTCAGCAAATTTCTAGGAAGGAATATCAGTACTAATATTGCACTCTCAGTAGCAATGAGATAGTCCCAGGTCTGACTCTGTGCCTGCCTACATCCCCATCATCTTCAGGAAAAAAGGCACCCCTCCCACCACCACCATTCTGTGAGCACATGGGCACCCCTTCTGTCTCTGGTACCTGTTGTGTCAACACACCCTATTGTGTCAACACTTCATTTGTTCTTCCAGGAGTTTTGGAAAGTAGGCTTAGGCATTAGTTTTCATAGAAAGAGATTCAATACACATGGGCCCCCAACAGTCTCAAATGGTAGTAAATCAGTGGCTGCCTGGAAACTGGATGTTAGCGCCTTAAATGCTACAGGCAGTGGTATGTCTTTTTTGATTGAACTCTTGCTAGAATGGTATATGCTCCCAGGATGGTCACATGTGTGTTCTCTGTCTGTTCCATTCAGCACATGCTTAGCATGGTATTGCTCCTTCACAGCATGGAGTCTGTGTGGTACTAATGTGCCTTCCTTCCCCTCCACCCTCCTCAAGTTTTGTCCATGCATCAGTAGAGCCGTGCGTGGGGGAGGGGGTCTGTGTCTCCAGATCATCCCCATACCCAAATGGAAGAGTTTAGGAGTGTTTGTATTTGGGGTTGCCTGTCTTACAAATCCTCTATCAAGAGTAGAATGGTATCCCATATACATGTGAAAACTACAGCATAACTTTTAAAATTTCACCAAAGTAACATCTCACTTTGTTTATTTTCTAAGAAGTACAACCTAACACCTCAATCCTGGAAGTTACTGGTCAGCAAAGCTACTTGAGGGGCTGGTACTGGGCTCCTGGAGGGTAGGGAGAGGGGACAACTGGATCACATGACATAGACAGTTTTAGTCTTAGGGATCTCACACCTGGTCACACATCATCTGCCCGTCTGTTTAAAAGGCATTAATGTTAGGGGTCTGCTGCATTTGTGTCTTGCACTTTCTCGTTTGTATGGTTTTCAGATTGTTGTGACATACATAACAGTTTTATCCTGTGTCCTTACTTACACTGAATGATACCTGTTCCTCTGATGGCCGCAGAACTTCCAGCTGACCTCTCTTCACGCTGCATTCAGTAGGACCTGTGCCGCATGTTACGGAAACCTTCCCTTCCTTGGGGCTGTGAAGGTTGCTTCTGGTTCTCCGCGTTCTGAACAATGCTGTGTAGTGTCAGGCCTTTTCTGTGCTGAAGCCTTCTTCCTGTGTTTCGTGTGTTAACAGATGTGGGCAAACGGTGGGATTCGGGGTCTGAGGCGAATGCAGGACCTGGTCTGCTCTCTTCACTGCAGGGCAGCCCCTGCCCTCTCCTCCCCAGTGTGCTCAGGAGCACCGCCTTCTTTGCGGTTCTCCAATGCTGTCTTCTCTTCCTCCACTGCTCTTCTGCCACTTGTTCCCTCTGTGCCTCTCCCTGCTGCTTGGAGAGACTCGCCTTTCGCAGGCTTCACAGGGCAGTTGCTGAGTTCTTTCCTCCCTGTGGCACAGGGAAGCTGTGGGGAGCAGCCAGCTCCAGCAGGCAGGGTGGGCCAGAGTCTTCTGCTCTCAGCCACTCGTGCCTTTGAGGGCAGGGCTGCTGCTCTCTCTATGAAGTGCTGCTGCGTTTACTCTCCAGTTTCCTGAAGATCAGTCTCTGAACTGCTTTTTAAAAGCATATAAGTACTATCCAAAAAACCAAGATTGTGGATTAGGTAAATTGATGTTAAGTATGTGTCAGAATTTATTGGTAGCAAATAATGGGTGGGTGAACTAGTGGGTGACAGAAGAATGTGCGGTAAAGAAAGTATGAACATGGAAGGGTTATATAGGTGGGAAGGAGGATGCTACATAGGCAGCTAATTAAGGAAATACATACACACAGAGTTTCATTTCACAGTCATAAAAATGTGTCCACATCAGGTATTAAAACAGAAGTCTGTGAGAAGATGGTATGAAATGACAAAGGCCCAGCAGATAAAACAGAAAACCCATCCAGAAAGCATATCCTGAGCCTCAGGGTGGGCCTGCAGTTACCAATAGCAGCACAAGAGACAGGCAGCAGACATGTGATGAGCGCCAGGCAGAAACTTGTTCTGGTTTAACTGCCTACTTTCAGTGATATGTCTCAAGCTGCAAACAAAGATACAGAATATGGCTTCTCCATTTCTTAGTTTGAGGGACATTTGCTTTCTTCTGACAGTGTGGAGGTAAGAGGACTGGAAAAACCAGTCTTATGGCCCTGAAGTGATTACCTGATTATAGATGGTGGGGCTTGCCAGAAATGGCTTCCTTGTCAAGTAATTCAGATAAGTTTATTTCCTGCTTAGTAAGAAAAGAAGTCTGGAGGCCAGGCATCAGGGCTGCTGGGACATCTCTGAGGCACTTGCCCTCGGAGCAAGCAGGAGAATGGTCCTATTGCCTGGGGAGGGGAAGGTTGGGGGGACAGGCATCTGAAGCAGAGAAAACAGCTGTTTACACTCTTGTTTTTCTCTCAGATTTAGAGAAATAGCTGGATCCTTAGAAGCAGCACTTACAGATGTCCTGGAAGATGCACCAGGTAACATCCTCAAAGTGACAAAGGCTATTGTTAAGTGGGTTAATTCCATTCACCAAGTCTTCTTGGTGGCCTTAGCACCCTGGGAGCACTTTGACCTCTTGCTGTCTTCCAATAGTGTTACTTGCTCAGTCGTGTCCAATTCTTTGCAACCCCATGGGTTGTAGCCTACCAGACTCTTCTGTCCATGAAATTCTCCAAGCAAGATTACTGGAGTGGGTAGCCATTCCTGACCCAGGGATCAAACCTAGGTCTCCTGCATTTCTTGCAGATGATTTACCATCAGAGCCACCAGGGAAGTAAGTTAGACCCTGAAGATACAGTTTAAGTTCTTTTTTAAAAAAAGGTTTCTAGAGCTTCCAGCTGTATAGAGACGATGTAAGGGACGCTTTAAGAACACGGGAAGGAGACCACGTTTTCGTTTCTGAATATAATGTGTCAAGGGGATATAACCCCTGCTGTGCTTAAGTGACAGCCTATTTTTGTAGCCTTGTGGCTGCCCTCCACTTCCCTCTCAAGCTGAGGTAAAGGGTCAGAATGTCCCTTCCCTCCAGAGGATGACTCTCAGCTCGGACTGCTGCCTCGGGCCTCCAGAGCCCTTGGCCCAGTCCTGGGTCAGTGGGTGGGTGACTGGGGTCAGCCTACGCTTTCCAGACATGTTTGCATGTAGTCATGCTTTAGGCGTCCCTGGTGACTGCTCACCTAGGTGGCTGTTCCTCTAGCCACAAAGCTCCACCCCACTGTGCTCCCTTTTGTGCGGCCAAGTTCCATCTAAACTGCACTCTTTTAGCCCCAAAAGTTTATTTTCAGCTGTCTTTGCAAAAGTAGCCATGTGTAATTGACTTCCTATATTTAAAGAGCATATTCAGGAGTGGAAGAGAAGACAGGACAAATTCAAAACCAGAGATTAAACCCTTCAAAGTGACTGCCACTCCAGTTCGCATGTGCTGCTTTATTATAAAGTACCTGTTAACTGATTATCTCTGATTGTTATATATGTTTCAGTTCAGTTCAGTTCAGTTCAGTCGCTCAGTCGTGTCTGACTCTTTGCGACCCCATGAATGGCAGCATGCCAGGCCTCCCTGTCCATCACCAGCTCCCGGAGTTTACTCAAACTTAGGCCCATCGAGTTGGTGATGCCCTCCAGCCATCTCATCCTCTGTCGTCCCCTTCTCCTCCTGCCCTCAATCCCTCCCAGCATCAGGGTCTTTTCCAATGAGACAACTCTTCGCATGAGGTGGCCAAAGTACTGGAGTTTCAGCTTCAGCATCAGTCCTTCCAATGTATGTATCAAATACCTGGGAGAAGGAGTCATGTAAAATTAGCAAACAGCGTTACAGGCAAGATGGAGTCACATGTCCACGGTACAGCCTCTTGGCTGGCCACACCCCCTCCCTAAATCTTCGCTGACCTCATAGGACTCTTCAGAATGTCATTGGCTTCACTCTTGGCTTGTCCGTTGCAGATTTTAGCTGTGAGCCCTTCTGCTGCGACTCCTAACTGTGTGTTTTTACCTCTAGCTGGGAGCTCGTATCGCCTTATGGCTTCTCATAGGACGTGGAGCAGCCTTCAGAGGTGCTGGTCTGACAAGATGTTCTTGCCGCTGCTGGCGCATCGTCTGTGGAGACTGACGCTGCAGATTCTGGCGCGATACTCCATATTTGTCAAGGAGGTGAGGGCTGGCTGGTGCTCATCCCTAATCAAGATTGAAAGGAATTAAAGATAGGTTAAGCTAAACGTGCCAAGATTTGTAAAGCCCATGTGGTCATGAGAGGTTGATGCAAGGGCTATAGTCCAACTTCCCAGATTTCTGTCCGTTTCACTGGATTTCCTTTTCACTCTTGTTTATGTGACCTTTAGGGATATCAGTTGTCACATATTCATTGCTTTGTCTTTTTGAAAAGCACTGCACTGACCTCATTTTCCCTTAGGAAAACCAGAATCTTTGGATGGTGCCTCCAATATAAAGGCACCATAAAACAGAGATGATCATTTTAATGAAGATGATAAAAATAAGCATATTTTTTCCTTAATATTTGGAAATTGAAAAACACCAAATGGCTGAGATTAGAAGGTGGTAAAATTGATTAACCTTCCCTTCGTTTCAGAAACCCTTTTCAGCTTGGCTGTATTAGGTATTCATATGCCTGTGATGACTGATTAGTTTTTGTGCATAAAGCCACAGGAGCATTCATGTGGTCCAGTGCTGAGCACCTGGCCCCACCAGGTCCGTTCCAGGTCTCAGAGATGCCTGCTGCACAGACAGCTCAGTGATAGACACACACCCCAGCCAGTGCAAGGTGACGAGTATAAGAGAGCGTGAGCGGAAGTGTAGGAAAGATGACACGGAGAAGCCATCATCCATGGACACGGAAGCACTCTGTCAACTGGAGGAGAGTGTTTCAGTGGAAAAAGCACAGGCTTCAAATCAAAGTCAGACCTTGGCCCTGCTGCTCTTTAATTTTGTGGTCTTAGGGAAATTGGCCGAATCCCAGGTTCTTCGTCTGTAAAATAGGAACACAGCTTCTACATGTGCTTGTTGTGAGGAGTGAAGAGATTTCTTGCCCAGAAAACTGGTAACGAAGGTGCCCAGCAGATAATGGTGCTCCATCCAGGTTCCTCTCCTCTTCCTCCTTTGCTTCCCTCTACTCAGAGTCGTCTCAGTAGAGCACCCTGCCCTATGAAACTGTTCATGAAGATCGTGCAGTTCCTGGGACACCGTGGACTTGATATGATCCTCTGAGGCCTGGGCTTGCTTCATCATCCCCAGCAAGATGCCAGCCAGTGATTATTCTTACACCTAGAATATTCCATTCTTTTCTCAATGCAAGTGCTCTGGTGTTAGGTTTTTTTTTCCCTTGTAGCAGTCCATTATGCAGAGAACACTTATGTCGTTTGTATTGTTTGAAGCATAATTGAGGTTGAGACTTTTATTTTTTACCCTTATGATAATAATTTATTAAGTAAATACAGTAAATTGTTTACCTTACGCAGTTAATTAACTTTTTAAAACCTATGATGTTCCAGATCCTAATTTTCCTTTAGTTTCGGGACCTCTTGCTTTCTTTCTGACTGTTACTTAAGTCAAGGAGGGGAAATGCACATAGGATCAAAGTTTGTCCTGTTTGTGTTTTTCACACCTACCTGGAGGGACAGGATGTGGTATCCTTTCTTGAGTTAACTTTCACTTAATACTTTGTCGACAGCTGGCATTTTGTGTTGAGTTACATGCTCATGTATCTCGCATGTGGAAACATTTTGTCACTGAAATCCTTTTTCAGCTTTTACTCAGGCCCATCTCTAATGAAAGTGCTAAGGATATTAAAAAGCCTTTGGTAACTGGCAGCAAAGATCTTTCTATCACCCAAGGAAATTGCGAAGACCAAGCAAGTGGCCCTTCTGAAACAAAGCCCATCGTCTCCATTTCCAGCACTCAACTTGTCTATGTGGTCACAGACCTGGACAGGCTTCAGGAGCAGGTGAGCCTGTGTTGCAGAGGATTCTAAGTGTGGGGTTCAGTGTTCTTACTGTCTGGCCTCATGGGGTTTAGACTTGTGGGCCCAGGGCCCCTGAGAGAGAGCATCCATTTACCTCCCTTCTGGTGTTGCCTCCACCCCCTGACTGGCATGCTCTCCTCCTTGGGTAGCAGCCTGTCTACCGTGTGCCTGCCTGGAGCCCCCTGGCTTCCCCTGAGCAGTGACGCCACAGGCCAGGAACAAGCCAGGCCCTCATTAACTCAGCTTGCTCTGTGGAGCCATGGTCTTTAATGGGTTGGATTCTAATTATTTCTAGTCTGCTTATCCAGTACTTATACTTTAAAAGTGCTGAACTATTACAACGTCTTCCTATTTCCTCCACATACGTTTCATGTTCTTGCTTTTACCATTAACAGAACTTTGTTTAAGAACAGAATGTGTTTAAGTGCTCTGATACAGAATCCTGCTTTTTTCGGGTTTAAGTGTTTTGTGGTGCTTGGACAAATACTTTATGTGTTGAGCAAAAACATGGCCTTTATGATAAGGTTTTTTGGTATTGAGGGGAACTACAGAATAGTGTTAGTAGCCATGAGAATATGATTTTCCATGTTGCTGAATTATTTTCTAGTGAAAGCATTAAGAATTTTGTTTTCTTCCGATGAAAGTTACTGAAAGTTCCGAGTTTAGTTTTATTATTAATTAATAACATTCTAGAGTTGTAGGTGCATATAGAATTGTCTCTTCCTTTGATTAATAAAAAGTAACTGAATATATAAAGTGCATATTTATTTCAGCTTCCAGAACTCTTAGAAACAATCAAGCCAAAACTTGAAGTGATGGGCTTTAAGAATTTTTCTTCCATCTCAGGTAAAAAATGAATCTTTAGATTTAGCAAATCTTTGAATAAGAAATAACTTAAAATAGAATTTTAGAGACTAGGATATATTTAATTAACAGTTTTCTCTAGTTGTAAATCCTTGGTTGTTTCTGTATTCTGTTCTGTGATTTTTAACTTCTCTGAATGAAATATTTTAATTCTAATAATTTGATTTGATTTGGTTTATTGTATACTCTCTTTAGGCCTGAGCCTGAATAGAGTGATAAAACACATCTTTCCATCTCTGCAGCAGCCCTGGAGGACTCCCAGCTGTCTTTGTCTGCCTGTGTACCCGCCTTGAGTGAGAAAATCACCCAGGACTTAAGTGAGTCTTGCTTTAGTCACCTGAAAAGTGCCCTGGAGGTTCCCAGGCTGTACCGAAGAACCAATAAGGTCAGTGCACTCATTGAAAAGCATTTTGAGGTGGGAAAATATATATCAGGAAGGCAGAGATGGAAGAAGTGGTTAAGTGAGAACAGAAATGGATTCTCCAGGGGAGAATCCATCTTGTTCAGTTGTGAGAGGAGGCTCCTCAGTAGATGGCCAGGGCCTCGGCACAAACGTAATGTAGGTAGTTGGACTTGGGCAGTATGGACTTTGGGCCTTAAGGGAGAATAGTATTTTCAAATAAAGCATTTTAATAAAATATTTTAAGGCCTGCCCTTCTTTTGGGTTTCATATTCTATATTTGAGAAGATCTGAATTTACCTTATTTCTTTCATATTGCCATTGGAAGTACCTGCTTCTGTCTTTTACTGGATATGGTATAAAAAAGTTACATTAAAAGCTATTAAAGATGTTTCAAGAGAACAGCATCGAAACATGTATATTATCTAGGGTGAAACAGATCACCAGCCCAGGTTGGGTGCATGAGACAAGTGCTCGGGCCTGGTGCACTGGGAAGACCCAGAGGGATCGGGTGGAGAGGGAGGTGGGAGGGGGGACCGGGATGGGGAATAAATGTAAATCCATGGCTAATTCATTTCAATGTATGACAAAAACCACTGCAATGATGTAAAGTAATTAGCCTCCAACTAATAAAAATAAATGGAAAAAAAAAAGCTATTAAAGGTATTTATAAGGTGAAAAATTGAGCTTATACTGGTATTCAAAGTCAAATTCTCCTTTGTCTTCACTTTCTAGAATAGGAATTGGGGAATTTGTTTTTAGCAGTGTTTTAGTTTTTCTCTTGAACTCTCATTTTCAAGTGTTCCTATTCATTTCATTCTTGCTAGTTCATATTTTCCTTCTAATTTTCTTTTCTCCTGGTTGTAAAGTTGGATTTTAATTTACAACTAAAATTATTCTCAGGACCTGTGAAAATGTCCTGCAGCATTGTGCTATTTTGGAATATCCCTGGAGTTTCTACACGCACACCCAGTGTGGGGCCTGGTGTGCCATTGGTGTTACTTTTCCCACCCAGCCCCTGCTCTGGGTGCGGGGAGTGGCTGGGCTGCGTCCTGAGACAAGCTGAGCTCATCTCTTGGCTATTCTCCTTTTCCTTTTAACATCTAGGCCATATAGCAGAATTTCCACTTCTTGGAACATCAGCAAGAGTATCTACTCTCCTGATGTTCTGGTCTGAAGTGGGAGAAACAGACCTATTTTAGTTTGCCAAATTCATTACTTTTCCTTTAGGAATCTACCAGCTTTCCCTTTTTCATCAGCAGGGTGTTGTTATATTTACCAAGTGGTTGTCTCGTGGGTCAGACACCGTACTAAACACTTTATACTGTCATTCGTCCTGTGAAGTGAGTGCCAGTGTCATTATTTATAGGTGAAGAAACCAAAATTAAGAAAAGTCCTAGATCCTCACTTCTTAAATGGTGGTCTGTTAAACAGCAGCAAATGGTCACCAGTCGGAGCTTGTTATAAATGCATGGTCTCAAAATTTGGCCCTACTCACCTCCTGCCCAGTATACACACACAAAATCAGACCTAGAATTAACAAAGTGGCCAGGTGATTTGTGTGAACACAAGGTTAGGGAACCTGAGTCCAGTCGGCTCTGGGCATCGTCCTTTGTGGCTCCCTCTTGGTCTCCAGGGTCTTTCTGTAGACAGCACTTGTATGTGTCTCAAAACTGGTACCTTGGTAATGTCCTTTTGAACATGAGGTTTGAGTAACTTACTTTCTCCTTTTCTGGCCTCTTTAACCTCTACCAACATTATCCCAGGAGGTGCCAGTGACAGCCTCCTCTTACGTGGACAGCGCTCTGAAGCCATTGTACCAGCTTCAGAGCAGGCACAAGGACAAGCTCAAGCAAGCCACGATTCAGCAATGGTTAGAAGCCGCTCTCTCTGAGAGCACGCATAAGTAAGTAACTTACAAGTAGACTATTCTGGACTTTCTTAGAAAAGTCCTAAGTCAGAGATCACTGGGACCATCACAGTTGTTTTCTGTGGCCTATCTCTGGACAGGGCTCCATGTGGGCACCCAGTCTCCTCCCATCTGTGCTCACTCCACCCCAGCCAAGGCTCTGCCTGGCCTGCAGCCATGCCAGCCCTGCCTCTCACAGCTCACACGCCTTTGGACCCAGGCGTATTCCATAGTCCCCCTGAGCGCGCTGCCTTTGACTGTCCTTAATGTCACTTCATGTAGGAGTGTTCTGCAAGTCTAGGCACACTTCCTCCTTTCAGGTCCTTTCTCCTCAACTCTGTCGGTCCATAATGGCTCCAGTCATGCCACATAACCAGCAGACTTGCACTAGGGAGACTAGGGTAATGAAGGAAGCAAACATGTTCATTGTGAAGTGTAATTACAGCTCTTACAGGATTGCTGTCAGATCCTCAGGCTGATGAAAGTAGAGGAGGTCCTCAGTCTGGTTGAATGCCTCTTCAGTTCTAATTCAACCAAAACTGTTTTCCCCGAATCCAGCATTGAGTTACATCAAAATATATTATTTGATTTTGTTGTTGAATTTTAATTATTAACTTTGCAATAACATTTTGTTTCTTTCTACTGCTTATGAATTAAGCAGCATTTGTGAGTTAATTTAGAACACAGCAGCAAGTTATAATGTGGTTTCTGTGGGCAAGTGTATTATAAATGCCAGGTAACCAGTTTGTAAATAAAATTTTGAAATATAGCTCGTTTATAATTTGGAAATCATTTTGAAGGCAGTTAGTTTTGTTTAAAATTTTTGAAATACTTTTACTCTTTAAAAAAGATGAGCTGTTCCTAGAACTGATTGTAATGAATTTGCTACTTTCATTTGGGAAATGAGCTGCTGTTCAGCCTTGAATATAGGAAAGACTTCGTCCTGTGATTTATCTTAGTGTTCAGGACAGACATTTTAGACAAAATTCATATACATAGTTCTTAAATTCTGAGGGAATACAATGCTAGAGAGTCAAGACCCTATTTTTCTTTCAGTCTTAAACAGTATTTACCATGGCTGATCTTTTATTGGAATTGAATTTTTAACTAAAAAAATCCATTTTTTGGTCCACAAAGCTCGTGGATGTGTTCGGTACTGCGTCTCTGACCACTGTCTTATGTTCAAGGTACTATGAGACCGTGTCGGATGTCCTGAACGCTGTGAGGAAGATGGAGGAGAGCCTGAAGCGGCTCAAACAGGCCAGGAGAGCCACTCCCGCCAGCCCGGCTGGGCTTAGTGGCGGTGGCATGAGTGATGATGACAAGATCCGACTACAGTTGGCCTTGGACGTTGCATATTTAGGAGAGCAGGTGACCCAAGCGCCGCTGCCCTTCCAAGGGGCCTGACTGCATTCCAAGGGCCCCGCAGGCACCCGGCAATGCCCCTGAGCCCAGAGATACTGGGAGGGACCAGACACTTGAAGGAAGAGGATGTGCACCTAGAGAATATGAGAAGGAAAAAGCAGACTTTTTGAGGTCCAGTGAATTGCCATTCTCTTGGCTTGCTGGCATTCATGTTCCCAAAGCTGCTGGGGCATGAGCCCATAGGCAGAGATGGTGTCCTTTTGGTCCAGAGCCTGAAACGTGCTTGATGTGGCATTGGTGCTGGGTGGCTGAGGGTCCTTTGATATATTTGTTAGTTTGGCTTTAGAATGACTAGAGAAGCGTTAGGCCATTGATTCTCCATGTGGTGCTTGAGTACTCATCTCAGCACAGTTTCTTTGTCTCCCTGCCTGCGTTTTTTAGGTTTTCTATAAAACACAAATTTTGGTGTCACACAGTGGATGGGTGGACATTCACGTAGGTACCATCACCTATGGGCAAGTGTGGATCCTACGCAGGGCCTTCCATCCTTACTGAGTGTCAAACTTTGGAATGTTCAGAAACTGGCTTTCTCAACTGCTTAGGTTTTCTGTAGCAATAAATCCTCAAGAAAGACCTTTTTTAAAAGTATTTATTTATTTATTTTTGGCTGCACTGGGTCTTTGTTGCTGCTCATGGGCTTTCCCTCGTTGCGGCAAGCGGAGCTACTCTTGGTTGTAGTACATACTTCTCAGATAGTGGCTTCTCTTGTTTCAGAGCACAGGTTCTAAGGCATGTGGTGCTTCAGTAGTTGTGGCACTTCAGTGGTTGTGGCATGTGGGCTTAGATGCTCTGTGGCATATGGAATCTCCCTGGATCAGAGATTGAACCCATGTCCCTTGCATTGGCAGGCAGATTCTTAACCACTGGGCAACCAGCAAGACCTTTTTGCTAGAGAAAAAGTGATATCATAACATTCCCATCAAAAGATGCTTGGTTTTCTAGTCACTCTTTCTTATGACTCAGTGTCATCACTGAAAATCCAGATTTTTCCGTTTTCAGGTGAATTTACAAGGATATCCTGGCAGAAAGTCTTATTACCTTCTTCTGTTTACTTACTCTGTTTCACAAGAGAAACTTAAAGTCTTTTTTTTATAGGCAAAAAAGTTGGTCATAGACAAATGAAGAGCAAGTAAGCAAAAGAACAGGGAGATGGGCTCCTTGCATTCCCCAGACCAGCCACAGCATGCCAGCAGAGACTGTGCAGTGGGTCCGGAGTTTCCCGGACTCCGCTGTGCATGTGTGCACGTGTGCTTTTGGTGGTGGTATTGAGTGAAGGGTGACGCACACTGTGCTGCATCTCTGCTACCATATGGTTGCTGTACCGGAGTTGTTTCTAAGAAAAGGCTGTTAATGATATGCTAAGAGATTAAGACCTCAGGCAAGTCGTTTTTGAGAATTCTCCACGTAGAAAGTTCCTTTTCTTAGTGTGAGTTTTCTCTTCCAGCCTATAAGAGAGGCTCTTATCCTGGTGAGAGAATGATTTAGTGAACGGAGATGAATTGACACTGACTTCTTAGAATGACCTCCAGAAGTAAATGTTATAATAAGTACACTTTTTTACTTCATTTATTTGAAAGTAAAAAATTATTCTACCAGTCTTCAGGAAACTGCCTTTTTCTGGTTTAGTGGAGGGTGAGGTGAGGGTGGATATCTTGTTTTCTTTGTAAGAGTCTCTTCCATGTTCAGCTAACTTGATTCATTCCCGTGGCCTTTACAGATAGAAAAGATGGGCCTGCGAACAAAGGACATAAGAAGCTTTCCGGCTCTCGCAGAGCTCGTTGCTGCTGCCAAGGACCAGGCACCTGCGGACCAGCCTTAAGCATCTTGGAGTAGCCCAGGGGAAGGTTGGACCTCACGCCTGCAGGGAAGAAAGCGTCTCTGTTCTCTCTGAGGCTGCGACACGGACGTGTGTCCACTGGTTCCCAAAAGCGCGCCAGGGCAGCTTCCCTCAGTGTCTTTGGGTCTTCTTTCACCCAAAAAGAATAATACAAAAGCCTTTTTCCGTTGTATGGAAGATAATTTTAAGATGTTTGAAACTTTCTACTATAGTTTACAGAGCAAATTATTTTATTTTTGTTGTAAATCTTAGCGTGGAAGAGATTATTTCTAAAATACGCTTGAAGTAAATACATGTATGTCTGAATATAAACAGTCAGCTTTCTGGTCCTGCAGTTAGAAGGGACTGGCTGCAGACGGGTAGCTACACTATACACACACCCTTCTCCCTGATGACTCTGACTTTCTAGACGGGCTGCACTGGTGGCTTTCCATCCTCCCACTAGGTGTTCAGAGCAGCCCTCATCACCCAGACCTCTGTCAGCAGCAAGCAGCAGCAGGGGGATCAGTTTCCTAAATAAAAGCCTGCCAAAGCATATGCACCTCTTATTTGTGAATTCAGCACAGTCAGATACTATGTCCCCTCTCCTTTGCACCTGTAGGTTCTGTCTGTCATGGAGTGCCCTTCAGGTATGTGGCAGATCTGGGTTGTGGGAGGGTGACCCAACACACCTTCCCACTGAAGGCAGCAGGGCCCCTTCCTAGCAACCTGCTCCTGCGTATGGGAGAAGGGGGAGAGTCGGGAATGTTGGGAGGTGGCACTGCAAGCATGTGGGTGCTTTGTTCGCTCCCATATTCACACATACGTGCAGAGCGCATGTGCGTGGCTTTGGCTGTGCCCCTTCAGCCCAACACTGACATGAGAGCAGGTGCACCTCCTCTCTGGGTTAACTGGAGGGGGAGAGAAAGAATAAGTGACAGGGAAGGAAAAGAGCTGGCCTGGGAGCTGGCAGGAGTCACGAGATGGAACTGGAGAAGTGGGAGGGAGAGGAGCGGGTCCCCAGAGAGGACTGAGGACTGCAGGCGGGTCATGGGCCCTGTCCACACTGCCAGCCTCCAGCGGGGCATGCTCTGGCGTCTCTACTCTCTGTTGGAGAACAGGCACTCTCCTCTTAGCAGGGAGGGCCCTGCCCTTGGACAGATGTGTGTCTTAATTTTAGGAAGCTGGTCAGAGGGACAACACTGAGTGAGACAGCAGGAGGGGCTCGCCCTCAGGGTGTGAGCCCTCGTCTGAGGCGCCAGCTCGCCAGGCTAGGCTGTGCGTCCTTGTGTGGTGCCGGGCTCGTGGGCAGCAGGGGCAGGATGGGCGAGAGGTGGGTGTGCAGTGCAGAGCTGCTGAGCTGGCACCTGCAGACCGAGCGGGACCCTGGTCACCTTGGGACTCCATGTTCGGCACTGGGGTGCCTGGCACACACACCTCGGATCTGGAGAAGCTAAGGAACAGGCCTGTGGTGCCCACAGCCTCGTGCTCCAAGGTGAGCCTGTAACAGCATAGCAGAGTGCGTGGCACATGCTGCAATCGCCACGTCTTCAAGTCACACATGTTCCCTGAGGCCACTCCGAGCTCTGCACCAGCACATCCTTCCCTGGCAACTGTGCCGTCCAGCTTTGGGCGGAGGTGGGCTCCAGCACTGTCTCTAGCCACTTTACCTCTCTTGTTTCTGAATGTGGTGGACAGCAGTCAGGTGTATCAGCCCCTCCATCGCCAGCACTGCTCTTCCTAATCTGCAGAAGAGGGGACAGAAATTAAGGAGTGAAATGAATAAGATTTGGGATCTGATGACGTTCTTCATGGGGCCTTGAGCTGACTCCCCCTGGCTGTCCTCAGGCCAGGGCTCGTGCCCACCAGGAATATCAGATTGAAGGTAACCATGGCTGCTAAATGATAACCTGATCTACTGGATAAGCACTTTGCAACCCCAGGAAGACATAGGATTTGCTGCGGAAATATTGAAGAGAAATCTCTACAATTAATATTTTTGTGTTGAATAATCTACAACATGCTGCTATTGAGTGTCTTGACCCAAATTTCCTTTTGTCAGTATAAAAGAGCTCTGCAACAAGGACAGAGAGTCCATTAGTCTGCTGCCAGTTGCTCTCTGAAATAAAGTCAAAAACACCAACATTCTTCTTCCTCCTGCTGCCGTGGTAGTGCTGTCCCAGGTCTATGCAGACAACTTCAGAACCACAGTTATGACTCAGGGTAACTCTTGTCCAGCTGGGTCCCCTCACTCAGCACAAAGCTGGACTTTCAGTGGGCCCCTCACAAATATATGTCAAATGAAGAAAGGCATTTCCTGGGAGGATATTTTTTGGCAAGCAGCTCTGAATCCAGTAATCATGTATTTTGAAAATAACCATTTTTTGCTTGAAGTTGTCTGAGAAATTACAGAAGACACTACAAAGTTTATGTTTCTGGTCTTAACATGTGTCCCCTTGAGATTCTAAATCCAAGTGGTGGGTCCTGATTGGCTGTGGCCACATTCCCTTCTAGTAGCCTGTGTTTGGAAGGGAGCTTTTGAACATCACTTAAAGCAGTGCTCCCTAAACTCTAGTGTGATCCCTGGGCCTTCTGTAAAGATACACATCCTGACTCAGGAGGTCTGGGTAAGGCCTGAGCGCCTGCATTTCTCAGGCTCCCAGGGCAGTGCTCCCGCGAGGCTCTGCGGGAGGGTCCTGTCCTTGCCTTTTGAGCTTCTTGGGGCTGTGCTCACAATTTGCACTGTGGCCCCGCGTCACATATCCTTTCTCCTCTTCCAGTCTCTGTTCCTCCCTCTCACAAGGATAGCTGTGGCTGCACTGATGGCTCCCCAACAATCCAGGAGCACCTCATCTCAAGACCTTCAATCACATCTGCAAAGCCCCCCTTTGCCATCTAAGATCATGTTCATGGGTGTTAGGGACTGGGACCTGGGTGTCTTTGGGTGCCACTACTCAGCTTGCCACGGTTGCCCACAGGTAGGCACCCCGATCCCTGCTGTAATTCTGTGGAACAGGACTTCTAGACAGGGTGGAGGTCATGAACTCTGTATGGACTAAGGTCCATTGATGTAATGGTGGTTATTATTCATTCAAGCGTTCTGTTTCCCATTTTACAAATAAGGATGGGGAGGCCTGGAGAGGTGAAATAACTGGATCTGGGTTAGTAAGTGTTGGAGCTGGACTTCCTGCCAGCCCGCTGTCTCTAGACCCCTTGCTCCTAAGCAATTCCATGCTGCATTTTGTGCCCGGTGCCGCAGACTAGAAGCCTCTGAGGCCCACAGAGGTGGGAAGGACAGCCATCTCCCCTGACATCGAAACTAGGCAGAGGGTTTTCGGCTGCAGAAGGGGCACTTGGGTGTGTAGGGAGAGAGCCTGAGATGCTGGCCTTGGTCCAGGTGCAGACCCTGCCTCCATCCTCACAGCTCCCTCTGGACGAGCCAGGGCAGACTGGGCAGCTCCTACAAGCAGACCACAGATACCACCCGCTTCCACCCCTCAAGCCTCCCAGCTCCCCTGTCCTCCCTCCCCCGCTCCTTGACCCTTGTGATAGTGGCTACACTGCAAGCCTACTTAGTCCTCTGAGTATTCATGGAAGGGAGGGAGAGAATGTGCTTTCTGTTCATTTCACAGTTAGGAGAAAACAGCACGGGCCCACCTCCTTCCCAAGATTTAGAAGGTGGGGTCCACACTGAGGGCGACATGTGCCCATGTTCATGGGTGAAGATTTCTTTCTCCGTCTTCTGATTCCAGGCACAGTGTCAACAGCACTTCAGGGGGTGTCCAGGAGGACGAGTGACAGCTACCCCCCACCCAGTTTTGCCCAGCGGGGTCTGTGCAGCTGGTCACCACCACCCAGAACTTCTCCAGACAAGGCTGAGGACAGCCTGTGCCTTCCATGAAAGCCCCACGCAAACAGGGCTCCAGGTCCTAAAAAGCCCTTACGTTGGTACAGCCTGCTAGCTACCTCACACATATTTGTCCTGCTGCTGCCAAGTGAAAGAATTTTTCTTTTCTGTTTATTGTTGCAAGACATTTATTAATAACACAGGGATTATCAGCCAGGGATTATGGATTAACATACATTCAGACACTTGTATTTTTTTCATGATGTGTTTTTCAGAAACCGCAAGTATCAGGGGAAGGAAAAACAGAAACCCAGAGAAAGGAAGGCATTGGGGGACCACTTGCAGGTCATCGTCACCGTCAGTAAGCCAAAGGTAAGCCTGGGGCAATGAGAAAGGGGTGTTTTAATTTTAATGCCCAGTTTTGTTCTCAGTGAAAAAGGAAACCATTTTTGGTTTCACAGTCAAGCTGATGTGTTCAAACCTTATCAGAAGCAGTGGCCTGTGCAAAACATGGGCTCATGGCACTGCATCCACCACCACCCCCCAAAGGCTGCTCACTGTACGCAGTGCACGTTTCCTGAGTGGAGCGGCTGCCCGCAGCTCCCGGTGGACTCCGTGGAAGAGAAGGGGGACGTGTAACGACACCAGTGGTGACACACGGGTGGCGGCCTCACTCTGCACTCAGCGGGTTGGACACGCAGCCCAGGAAGTGTAGGGCGGCTGAGTTTCTCTCCAAGACAGCCAACAGGAACGGGCTGTTGAGGGTCACCTCCAAGGCCTCTGGCCCGGCGGGCTGTGGGACGGACTCTGGGGCCTGCTCTCCATCTGCTTTTAGTTCAAAAAGGACGCTGTTCAGCACCTGCAAAGCAGTGAGCCTGGGGGTCACTCCTGAAGGCCTGGGCCCCAGGGGGGACCCTTCTCCAGCCTGCCCACTCTCACTTGACCCAGCTCACGTGATGCGACGGCTCCTCTCCAAAGTGTCCCTCAAACCCACCCATCTTCACCTTCCCCTGCTGTCCCGGGCAGACGGAGTCTTTGGGCCCTCTACCATGGCCCGCCTGGGCTTGCTTCCTCTCTCTGCTAACAGCACAGAGGGCTCTGAGGCCAGGACTGTGAGCCACCCCCCACTTCTCACCCTCCCAGTGTTAAGGCTCTTCTCAGCTGTGGGGTTGCATCACCCCTGTGCTCCTGGGACAGTCCGTCCACTGCTGTGTGCTTCCCTGAAGCCAGGAGCTGAGTGCCAGGGCCGGCGGCCAGCCTAAAGGCTCTGCTCTCCAGGCCCTAGTCCTGACCCTGCTGTAGGATCTGGAGGGGCCCCAAGGCGAGGCCTGGCTGCGCAGAGCCACGAACACATGCAGGGGAGGGTTTTGCTGCTCTCCAGCTGTCCCTGGGAAGACCCGGAGAGCACTGCTCACTTCTCCCCCACCCTGGGCCAACAGCCTCCTGGCCATGTGCTCACGCCTCTCCATCCTAACTGCCTCTACCCAACCCCCCAGCCCACCCCCTTGGTGAAGCCTCCTCTGTGTCCCTCTTGCCCGTGCCTCCCACTCCACGAACATACAGAACCCACGGCAGGCAGGCACAGATAGCACTTGCCCAGTACCTTTCCAACTCTAAGGTTGGCATCGCTGATTTTGCCCAGGTTTGCCTCGGCGCCCAGCAGGGTAGGCAGCTTGGCCTGGGCAAGCAGGTCCTGCAGGTCATAGGACGCTTTCAGTGTCAGCTGGGGCATGGTGAGGTGGATGGCCCTGGGGAGATGACGCATGGTTACCAAGGGTGTCTCATAGTGTGAGGCGCTGGCGCACACTGGGCTCACAGAAGACCTGGGAATCATGTGCTCCTGAACGAGGAACTTTTGCCATGCTCACTCAGCTAGGGTGTCTTGGGAAAACTTTCAGCAATAAATACACTGACAAGCTTTCATTTTCTTTGAAATACTATGAGAGGGATGTACAAAATTCAACAATGGAGCTTTCTGAGGGATTGATATGAACAGTTGTCAGTTCTACCTTCTGTTCCTTTTTTAGGTTGGCTGCATTGAAAGCGTGCTCAGTGGGTAATTCTAAAATGCTATCCTCTAAAATAATGTCATGTCTTATTACTTCCCAGTGCAGTGCTGAGCTCCCTGTGGGAGGGGGAGGGGAGGGGCAGGCACGAGGTCAGCCTCTGTGTGGGCGCGTCACTTACGTCAGCTCAGTTAACCTCCACGCAGAAGCCCTGCCTGCCTTGGGCATGCCTGAGAGCCCATCGGGGTTTCCAGTGACTGCACATGGCTGTTGGCACACCATGTCCATAGCAGTCTATTCACAGCAGCCGAAAGGCAGGAGGGACTCAAGTGGACCATCAGTGGATGGGTGGATACACAGAAAGTGGCAGACACACAATGGAATACTATTTAGCCTTAAAAAGGAAGGAAATTCTGACACATGATACCATATGGATGAGCCTTGAGGACACCATGCTAAAAGAAATAAACCCAACACAACAGGACAAATACTACATGGCACACCACTTATTGGAGGTAGCCGTGGAGTCAACACATGGAGAGCAGAAGGGTGGTTGTCAGGGGCTGGGGCAGGGGAAATAAGGAGTTAGCGTGTAATGGGCACAGAGTTCCAGTTTGGGAAGAGTGAAAGTTTCCGAAGATGGATGGTGGATAGCACAAAAATGTGAAGGTATTGATGTCATGTTGATAAACACTTAAGAACTGCTCAGGTGATCGATTTTACGTGACGTGTCTATCACAGTTGTTTTTTAAACGACTTAAAAAGTGTTGACCTCAGGAGGCTCCCTGTGCCCCGAGTGCCTGTCTCAGAGCAGGGGGCCTGTTGAATGTGGGCCTCCCAACCCTGCAGGGAAGTGTCAGCACAAGGGAAAGTGGCTTCCTCCTCCCCTACCTCTCCTGCACCCAGAGAGAGGAGATAAAAAGAGTTGAGTCCATGGCTGGAGGGGGTGCTCATGTGGGGGTGCTCAGGCATCTACTCACCTTTCCCACCCACCCCCCTGCCTGCTGGGCGCCCAAGGCTCAGCTGACACCACGCCCTTCCCCCCCCACGCCCCCCTCCCTAGGCAGAATGGCCCTGCAGATCCCCGCTCTCCGGGGTGGGGGGCAGCCCAGGAGGGTCCAAGCAGTTTCCTGGAGCCATACCGAGGAGAGAGATTCCTCATTCGCGTCAGGAAGTTGTGCTGGAAGGTGACGGCCTCCACCTTTCGCAGGTCGGGGGCGTGGTGCGGCTGGACGAGGATCAGGTAGGTGCTGGCACTCAGGGGCACGCGGGTCACGGACAGGTTGTTCTGGCTGTCGCTCCAGTAGTGGAAGGTCCCGGTGCCAGAGAGCATGGGGACCGACACTGAGGTGGTGTTGTCCACCCAGAACTCCTTGAGCCCTGGCAGCAGGGAGAACCCCTTCATCTTTCCTGGGGACCCAGAAGGAGACAGGAAGGGAAGAGTAAGGGAGAGGACAGCGCTCTGGGGGAGCAGAGGGGCAGGGCTGCCTCTAAAGCCTCCACCACCACCAAAGCCTCCTTCCTGCCTCTCCCTCCCCCTGCCCCAGGCTGCTCTGCCCTTTCCTGGCCCCACAACTTCACCAGCCCCAGGGCACCCGACAAAGCCTTCCTCCTGCAGATTCACGAACTGCCAATGTTGAAATGTAGAACACACCAGGCCCCAACCTGAGGCCCACAGAGGAAAATCCTACCCCACTATTAACTGACCAGGCAAACTCAGGCCCAGAGCTGTCCTGGCCCCAAGCCTGGGCTCTGCCATGCTCACTTTAAAAAACAAAAACACTATTTTTTTTTTAGAGAAGTTTTAGATTCACAGCAAAATTAATAGGAAAGTGCAGATATTTCCCATATACCCCCTACTCCCCAGCAACACACAGCCTCCCCCACCACCAACTCCATTAGATGGTCCATTTGTTAACATTGATGAACATCATCATCACCCAGAGTCCATGGTTCACATCAGAGTTCACTCTTGGACATTTTACAGGTTTAGACAAACACACAATGACGTATCCACCATTATGCTGTGGTACAGAATTGCTTCACATTTCTTAGTACCCCTCGCTGCTAGAGACCCAGGATGACCAGTGGATGTGAGCTGTGTAAAACCTTTGTGCTGGGCCTTGAGGGGAGAGGCAAGCCCTCTGTCACCTCCCACCCCTGCCAGGAGGCTGTGGCCTTGGGGTTGTGGAGCCGAGCTGCCAGCCGACTCAGCTGTTGTTGAGCAAATTCTTGAAAGCACTGTGACTTGGGCTGTCTCCATAGCAGCAGCTGGGCACACAAGCATATCCCCTCCCTCTGCAGTCTTCTTAGCCCCTTGAAAGGCCCATTTTGTGGTTGTTCCTGGGAGAACAAGGTGAAGTTGAGGATGAGCCCATCACAGAGTGGCCCCTGGGCACCTGGAACTTGGAGGTCTGAGCAGAGGTGACTTAAATGAGTCAGGGCTCTGGTTCTCTGACGAGTGGGAGTAGGGAGCTGGGGAAGGGAGTCCAGGTATTGTGAGACAGGAGTGGCAGGGTCCCCAGCCCCGCCTTGTCCTCTAGCCTGGGGTCCGTGTCTTCAGGCAAGTTCAGCTCCCAGGAGGGCTGCACACAAGAAACTGGCCCACAGGAATGACAGGAGTCTTGTTAGTTTATAGGGAAAAAAGAACTAAATATTTTTTCCTATAACTGAAAGGAAAAAAGGATGCTACCTCCAAAAAGATATAGGAGTCTGAAACGAGGGTAGCTGCGGCCTACTCTCTGCTCATCTCATCGCACAGCATGCTGTCCTCATCCAGAGATTAAGAGCATTTTGACAGGTTAGGACAACAGGTGTGGCCCTTTCCTGGTGCCAGTGGCTCGCCCTGACTCTGCCTTTTGGGAAGCAGGCCTTTCTCAATGAGCTCTCCTCCTAGGCACCTGTTAGCGACAGTTGGCTCAGCCCAGGGGCCCCCTCGGTCCTACATGGGGTGCAGCCAGCCTCAGCTATGTGGTTCCTGACTGAACTCTGCTCCCAAGATCCCTCCCTGTCAGGCTGGGATCTGTGCGATCCTGGGCTGTCACCTTCCTCCTGCTCCCGGGGGCAGCCTGCTGCCTCTTCTTGGCAGCTTTTCAGACTTCCAGGTTATTGTCAGAGTAAGAAAGCAACTATGTTCTGTTCAACCTTCCTCTATCCCCACAGTTCTGCCTTCCAGCGGCTGACGTCCTTGTCTCTCAGTTGTTCCACTTGTTGCACATATTGATGGGACCTCACACACAGCTTCCCTAGCCCACCCATCCATTCACAGAGCCTCAGAGTCTTGTTCCTGGAACCGTTTGCTGAGCAATTGCATAACCTTCCAACTACTCTTCCTTCCTCCAGTACCCATAGCACAGGCCAGGGACCTCTGAGCAGAATGCCTGGTGCCCAGCTCCCAGCCACCCACAACTCCAACCTCCCATTAGCACATTCAGAGTCTCAAAATCTGGCCTTGACCCATCTCTCTGGCCTTGCCTAACACTGATCCCATTCTCTCACTCTGAGCTCAGGCCAAACAAAATCGCCCCTGTCCTGGTTCCTCGCCCTGACCTGTGCAGTCTTGCACCATTTCCCAGCCTTCCTTCTGTCCTCTTCCAGGCGACACCCCTCCCCGAGCACTCTGAGCCCTGGGCACCTGCACAAAGCACCTTGCCTTCAGCTCTGGGGCTGAGGCACTGGCCTGTGGGATCCAGCTTTCTGGTTAACCACAGTCAGCAAGCTGAGTCGGGGCTTGTGCGGTCTCCCTATTTTCCCCTCTGAGACACCAGCTCAGAGTCTTGCAAGTGATACATCCCCAGTCATTATTTCCAAATGAATGAACAACTTGTGTGTTAGGCATTATTTTAGTAATAATCTCCCAATATGAAAATAACCCCAGAAAATAAACTGGTTATTTTTGCATGAGACAGTGAACTTCTCAAGGACAAGATCCCTTGACCTCAACAGACAGGAACCCATCCCTTCTGTGTGTGGAGCTGGGCCACAAGATGTGTGTTTAGAAATCAGGACCCTGCTTGTGGCTGTGCCATCAGGAGCAGTCACTTTGTCTGAGTCTTTTTTGTCACTGGTAAACAAAGGCAATCATACCTCTTCACCGCCTCTCAAGGGGGTCCAATGCTGAAAGTAAAAGGATTCAGCATAGCAGCTGCACATAGTAGGTCAGCAGATGGGGAAGCCAATGCTCAGATAATGCTCATCCAAGGAGCCCAGTGGGGCAGCCACTTGGTACTCTCTAAGGGTGGCGCCAGGTACTTGCTCATCTGCCCCCCTGCCCATCTCCAAGCATGGCCCTGCTCAGCTGAGCTGAGATGCTGGACAGTGAGTTCATACAGACAGAGAACCACCACCCTCCTGCACTGGCCAGGGGCAGAGCCCCGCGGAGGGCTGGCCTTACCTTGGAAGTGGACGTAGGTGTTGAAGAGCAGGGTGCTATCTGGGCTGACTGCTGTCAGGGGTTTGCCCATATTCCACCCCGTCACTGCCTGCATGAACCTGTTGATCTTCTCAGCAGCGAGGTTTGGGTCTGTAGACAAGTCTAGTGAGCGTGAGAGAGTGATGGGGGCGAAGGAAGAGAGGCCCTGCACAAAGGGCTGCTTCAGGCGCAGGCCAGGGGCTGTGAACAGGCCAACCACCGTGGACAGGAGCAGCCTGGCCTGACTGCTGGCCCCACCCTGGGTGGCCAGAAGACCCTGGATGGTCTTCAGGGAGGACAGGACCTTGTGGCCATCCAGCCGGGAGGTGCAGCTCTGATCCTCCCCAGGGACGCCCAGGAATGCCTGTAGTCTGCTGGCCGTGGGGCCTAAGGCCCCCACATAGAAAGAGGCCAGGGTGCTGAAGAGGGCCACTGGGGAGAACACAGCCCCACTGGTCACACCCCATGTCTCACTCAGTATCTTGTACATGTGGAAGCCCATGAAGTTGAGCAGCAACCCCACCTCTGAGGCCCGCAGCCGATCTTCAGCCTCTAGCTTCTCAGTGGCTTGAACCAGCTGTTCCCACAGGGCCTCTTCGTCCACTGGGGATGACTTGGACTGAATGGGTGCAGGTGTGAAAGTCGGGTCTGGAGGTGTCTCCACATTGGGTTTCTCCAGCTGGTCACAGTTGCTCTTGCTGTAGACGAGGAGGTGGAAGGGGTGTACATACACCCGGTCGCCAGCAGCCAGGCCAGCCCAGGCCAAGAGGCAAAGCACGGCAGCCCCTAGGCTCAGGCCAGCAGGAGCCATCTCTGCCTGGGCACTTGCTTCTGCTATCCTGAAATATTTTGTGAAGAGTTAAAGGAGATTATTACCTGTCTTCCAGCAATATTCCCTGCAACCAGTCTGCACATGAGACATCCATCCATGTCTCATAAATTTCAAAGAGAAGTGGCGCAAAGCTCTGTGAAAGACATCTCCAGGTGTGCTCCAGTTGCAAGTACACTATCGTTGGCTGAGCTATGCTATTGTGAGGCTTTATTCTGGGGTAGGGTTTGGGTTTTATTTTGTTTAAATTTTAAAGTGGTAAGGATGTCTAAATATTAAGACATTTGTAGATTTTAAAAATATGAAATGGGGTTATTCTTAATGTAAACACATGATTTCACAAAATATTGCAGGTGTTTTTTGTCAAGAATATGTAAGCAGCTGCTATCATTTTTACCTTTGTTAATTAGTGGTATGATGCTTCAGTCATGTTTAACAAGAGTAATATGGAAGCATCTTAATTTATTTTTAACGGAACACTTTGAGTAAAAACAAAGTATCATGATAGTTGTTATGCAAAAATTTAAAAATTCGTATGTCAAAGTTGATGGAAGAACTTTTTACATACTGAAGTATGGAGAAGTCATTCTGGTTTATCCAAAAGGGAGCTGGGTGGCCATTGTGGATGTTGTTTCAGACATGTTCATATATCGCTGAGAACTTGAATTTTCTGAACTATATCAGACTCAAGACCATAGTCGTAGCTGCCAGCTGCAACCTTCTGGTCTCCAGGTCTCCGCTTGTAACTATGCAACCATTTTGAACCCGAACAAATCCTTGCTTAACAAACACCCTTACTTCTTGCCAGTTCCAGTCCTAATTCTTGACAAACAACTTACGTAATTTTGCAGTTTTTGCCTTCATAAGCCTCCTCTATTTTGTTGTCTGGTGGAACACAACTCAAGTGCTTCCTGAATCTGTGTTTCTCTGCGGTAGGCCTCAGTTTGGCTCAAATAGAACAGTTGTCTATTCTTTTTTTTTTTTTTTTGGGTTGTCTATTCTTATTATAGATTCTTTATTGATTATTTTTGTTAACAAAGTCCTGACCCCTAGTGCCTCAAAATGTGACTGTATTTGGAGACAGTCTTTAAAGAGGTAATTTAGGTTAAACGAGGCCTTTAGGATGGGCATTAATCCATCTGACTGGTGTCCTTATAAGAAGAGGAGATCAGGACACAGGGAGAACCGCATGAAGATATAAGGAGAAGATGGCCAGGAGACCACCTGCAAGCCAAGAAAAGAAGCCTCAGAAGAAACCAACCCTGTCAACACCTTGTTCTTGAACTTCCAGCCTCCAGAATCATGAGAATACAGATTTCTTCTGTGTAAGACTCCAGTCTGTGGCTCTGTGGTGGCAGCCCATAACAGCAATATGCCCACCTGTTCAAGGCTATAAATTTTCCCCAAAGAACAAAATGTGGGGCAGCAGGGGTCTTTGTGGGGCTCCAAGCCCTAGGGTAGGTGGTAAACCATTTTGGAATACAAGACCAACCCACACAGAGGTTTCTCCTCTGTTACAAATTAGCCTGACAAGAAAATAATCCAGCTGTGTGGGGAATGTTCCCTTATTTCCCGAGCTAAGGTGTATAATTTAGGATGGAGATCTCATATTGTTTGGCACGTGACAGTTCACAAAGCTCCTTCCCATAGATTATCCAGTCTAACGTGTCACGTAAGCTAAGACTGTTTCACTTCTTTGCAGACACTGAAAGGGGAGTTCTGAGATACAGAGACACATCCCCAAGCTCATTTTACAGCAAGGATGTAACAGAGATCTGATTCCAACCTACTTTACTCTCGGAAGCTATTCTCCACCCCAGTGCTCACAGGACTCACCCAGAAAGCCTGAAAAACTATGACAATCTGAGTCTCACCTCCAGAGATGCTAATTAAGTGACCCTGGGAAGGGTCTGAGGAAGGGCTTTTAGTCTCCCAGTGGTCCTAACATGCAGCTGGAATAAAGCACCATAGACTCAACCTGGGGAAGCCCGGACATCCCTGCCTGTCTCAACCCCTCACTAGCTCGCACCCACCCTGCAGAGTAGATCCCTGCAGGGCTCCAGGTCATCGGTGCCCAAGCCCATTCATCAACAACCAGATTTCACTGGTCTGTGCCCAGTTCTCCCAGGAGGCGTCAAGGTGCATCAACAAGGTCGAACCTCTCCCTGCCTCACCTGGGGCAGGTGGGAACCTCTGCCTCAGCCTCACTTCTAGCCAAGAGAACGGGCATGGGCTGAGCTCCTGGGAGAAAAGGCTCCTGGGTCGGCTCTGCTGGCTTTTTCCACGATGGTTCTCACTGAGAGAATGAATATTCCCTTTATGGGTTCATTCAGTTCTAGCAGTTTTTATATGACACCTCCTTCATTTTGAGGGAAGGGCAATGCTGTACCACCAGGTAACTGCTCAGCCTTCCCATTTCCCTCCTCACTCTCCCCTGCCCTCCCAGAGCTGGCCTGGGCCTCCTTGGAACTGTGGTACATCACCACCAATTCCAGGTCGCCTCGAAGCCTAGCTGGTTCCTACACCCCCACGCATGCCTGGTCAGGTGCAGTGACTGCAGCTGCTTGGGGAGGACATCTGGCTGACACGGGTTGTGTACTCACTCTGCTCTAAGTATCAAATTGCCAAGGGAACTCTGACCTCTGATCTTAACCTCCACCTACTCTCCTCCCAAGCTGTTTGACTCAACCCACTGTGCCCACAAAGAGTTACACAACACGGAAAAAAAGGACAGAAATTTCTCTTTATAGGCCTTCCTGCCTTGACGCCTCTCCAGGGGAAACTGGCGGGGCCTGAGGGAGGAGAACCCTTCAGGAGTAGGCCTCAGGGTCCTGGGCTGGGGCCGTGCAGGTAATCGCAGCCGCCTCCCAGCTTCTTTCAGGCACAGGCACCATTTCAGGTGATTTACCGGGTAGAACAGAGGCTGCTGTTTGCTCTCAGCTGTGGTCTGTCCCCTTAGCCTCGGTGCTAAGTCAGCACACAGCTTCCCAGCCCGACAGCCATACCTTGGGTTTTCTCTTCCAGCTGCCTACACCTGGCCTCCCCCTTCACCAGCCTCTCCTGCAAGCCTTCTTACATCTCAGGGCTTGTGCTTGAGGATAATGAGGGCGGTAGCAAACACAAATGTACGGCTGATCATGGTTTCAGTGACTTCAGGGGTCAAGTCTGAACCCTCACAGCAGCCCTACCTTCCTGTCTAGGCCTCCCCACCACTGATTTCACACTTCGACTGGCCCTCCACGCCTGGCACTCTGAACTCACTCCTCCTGCCCTCCTCTCTCCCTGTGGCACTAGTCACCTGCAACACTGATCACCGAGTTATACATGTGTTTCTTATGTTTAGCATTTATTGCCTGTCTCCTTCCACATGAATGCAAATCCCGTAAGACTGAGGTTCTTGCTCTGTTTTGCTTGCTGATGTGTCCCACATTCCCCAAAATACAATAAGTGGTGGCTAAATTATGCTGTCCTGCAGATGAAGAGAGAGGTTCAGAGACTTGCTCAAGATCACACAGCTGGTAAGAGACAGATCTAGTATTCAAACCCAGAGCCCCTGACTCCATACTCCATACACTTAAGCGCTGATCTATACTACTTTTGAACAAAAATCACAAGACTGTGTCTTTTTAGTTTATTCTGAAGTTTAGAAAGCACTGTCAGGTTGTATTAGCACTCTTATTTTATAGCATAGTTCCTGAGAAAGGGAGACCAGGTATTGCTGTTGGCTCCATTTTATAGACAAGCAAACCAAGGCTCAGGAGACAGAGTGATGAGCTTGACTGCTCAGACCTGGGCCTTGAACCCAGGACCAGAGCCAGCACTGCCTCAAAAGAGCGGCAGGAAAGCAGACCACTGCTCCCCTGGCTCACTGAGCCTGCCCTTCTCCCCAGCTCCACTGCCTGCACAAACCTTGCTCATCCTCTGGCTGGAGAAGGACCCAGCGGACTCCTCCTGCACCAACCCCCTAAGACCCAGTCCTGCTCAGAGAGAGCGGAGGACCCGGCCAGCCTGCCTGCTGCTGAAGGGAGCAGTTGCTCCGGTGAGACCCATGATACGCTCAGGGGACGGACAGCCCATGCCTAGGGGAGAGGCACCCTCCGTGTCTGCAGTGGTAATGTCACCAGCAGCCCAGATCACTGCTGTCCCCTGGTTCCTGGGTGCAATTTAGCCACAGGCTCCCAGCAGCTTTCCCCCACACCTGTCTGCCATAGCGCCCAGCTTTCTCCTGCCAGCAAACAAGGCAGCCGCGCGAAGAGAGCTGGGGAGGGGTGTATGTGGAGAGGGCCCCCACTCACCTTCCGCTCTTGTCCCCAAGACAGGGTGGCCTCTTCCCCTGGCTGGGCCACCGAGGCCCTATTTATGTCTGAGGGGTGGACATGGAGCGGTTCCCAGACCGTCCTGTGCTCAGGCCAGGGGGTGGGTGTTTACATGACTTGGCCGGGCCGTGGGGGTTGGGCCCCAGCAGCCTCCCAACTAGAGGGACAAATGCCAGGCCAGGCGACTCTTAGGATGGGCCTCCTTCCAGGAATCCAGGGTGATCGATGCACTGTTCCTGCTGACAGTGAACTGGTACACAGTCAAGTTACACATTTACTGAAGTCTGCTCGAGTTGGGGCTGCTGTTTTGGGACATGGGAGCTTCCCATGTGGGTTGAGATGTGTCTCTGCCCCCGGGTGTGATGGCCTGAGGTCAGCCACCCAAGCCTCGAGACTGAGCCCCCTTGGGCTGTGCTTCTGAGAGGCCTCAAGGACATGTGGGCTCATGGGCCCAGCAGGAAGGGGAAAGCCCTACTCAGCCACTTGAGTGGCTCGGCAGTTGTCCAAATAGCCATTGGGTACCCACTCCATGTAGAGGCCTCTGATGGAGATGGGGAGAAACACACAACCCAGCAAAGCACATTCTAGAGAATTGTGACGTATCCGGGGAGAACACTAGACACCAACCGTAGGGAGATGGGAAGGTGCTCACAAATGCTTTCAGAT